AGCGAAAACCTGAATAAAAGTATGCATATTTATAGATTGTTCGTAAAGAAAAAATTTAATTGAAACTTGAATGTTATTATTGTAGGGCCATAAAGGTGCATAGTTTATTTATTCATTACTTCAGTTTGTTTTTCCCAAGAATTGAGGTCTTGTCTCATACGAATCCCTGACAACACCTGCTGCTGCGCTGTCCTGATAAGACTGAATGCTGTTATCAGCGACACCGTTCACTCACTGATGGAATACTCACTTATCCAACTTCTCATGGATACATGCATTTATCAGCACCACACGCCTTGCCTGCTCGTGTAAGATACAATAACAGCGTTCAGGCGTAGTGGTTTAGCAGTAACGCATCTAATAAATTCATTCACACAATAACTAGATTTACATCAAATTAATTTCACTACACTATGATTGGAATAATTGTTATGTGAAGTATCCTTCAATAATTTCCATGTGACAACACTGCTTCGACGCCGTGTTTAATCATCGTCATCGCATATTTACTTGATTATATTATATAGAATAAGTTTCATTGGGAATTATTTTCCCCCTCTTCTGAAATTCATTTCGAATATCAACATTTATGATTACTTTTTAGATAGTGGCTTCCAAACTGAAGCCACTCTTTGAAGATTGACACAAAAAATGTAAATAATTGAAAATTTACAGTGTTTGTTTGTTTGGAGTTCAAGCAGCGTCCGAGGGTTTGTTGTCGTCGGACTACAGGAGTAAGGGGAGGGTTGAGAAGGTCAGGAACTGACTGTTGGATGGTAGTGGCAGCAGGGAACTGGCACAGAGGATTCATCTGAGGGGCGGCCGACGTTGTGTGACGAGCTAAACAGAGAACCTTTGAGCGCTACGCCAGACGGCGACCCATTCACATCCACACTTACCCCTCTACTGTGATTATCATTACTTACCCGCACATTCTTATTTATATTTTGTACTGACTAACTCGTTGTAACTTACATGATTATATTGTGTTTTTAATTATTATTAGTAGTGATATATATAATACTTAGATTTTATAATATATTAATACTATATTGAGTGTTATTATCACATCTTTCATTCTTTATTATATTTTGTACGAATGATTCTGCTGATATAAACGCATTATATTACGTTATCACAGATGTATTTTTGATCATGACCGGACGAAGCCTTGAATTGCTCTGAATTTCTTACGTCTTATAATTTTTTCGGCCCTCGGGATTATTTCTTTTAGAGCTTTTTTCTTTTAGTCTCTAAACTCCTCCTACTTTCCTCCTGGACTATTTTCCTCTATTTTATACTTACACTACTTAATTTTTACTTTACTTTGTTAGTCCGCGGTCACGTTTCTACGCTCAATATTTTTGGTACTTTTTTCGCGGGTTCAATTTCAAGCATCCGATGATGCATGCCCTCAGCTCACGTATACAGGATACCAGTACCTGCAGTATCATGATACCCACCTCCACGGCGCAGGACTGTATGGAAAATACCAGTACCCGCGTTATTCTGCTACGTACCTCCATGGCGCAGGACCGTATACAGGATACCAGTGGGTACCCGCAGTATCCTGCTACGAACCTCCATGGCGCAGGAAAGTATACAGGATACCAGTACCCGGAGTATCCTGTAGGCGCCGCCAAAGCGCGACGGCCGCTTGCTTTAAATTGATGAATATATTTACCAGTCTTGCTTAAAGCTTAGTCTTACTTACTCGTAAATTGCTCTAAAAATTGGTCACTAAAAAATTTTGTTGCTGACTCTGATACACGGAGCCTACCTAGTTTGGTAGACGATCAGTCATGGACTATTGTTTTACCGAATCCCAATGCCCTACTTGCTGGTTATTTTTGGCATTGGGTCTACTACTATGATAAATATCAGTGAAATTTCTGAAAATAAATTTTCATATCGATTTCAGTTTTTTTTAAGAAAAATTTGCTCTCTGACTGAAAGCTTTCTTTAATTTGCCTCCATGCTATAGAGCAATGTGTTTTCCACCCGATTTATCAGTTCATCTTTTATCAGTATTTCTGCCAGTTATTCCACGTTTCAGCTCGCTAATGCTTCACCATAATGAACCAACTCCCCTTGTCTATGATGCGGGTTTCATTGACTGAACTCTCGCCGAGATGGCATGCGGGCTGCCGCTAAATGAAGTCCTAAAATCTGTAGCAGCGGATCAGATCTTCAGTTGTGATCGTATATCGCAAACACCGCCCATAAATGTGGTAAATTCCTTATACACGTCGTCTGAATCTTCTTCATAATTTGATCTCAATTGAATTTTAGTTATGCAACTGAATCTTAATCCATTGACGGACCTCCTTTGACCATTTAGCGGGCTCGTTATTAAGATATTGAATCGAAATTTTCGCCTAAACAGAAACACCCTTCGTTCCTCTGTTTGTATAGATTTGAGGCTACGTTTCCATGACTCTATTAAACAATCATTTGCTTATTGTATATAGATAATGGATCCCCCTATCACGCTCGAGAAATAAAATTAGAGCTTTTGAAAGTATTTGTTGCCCCGACACCGAAATGATATGCTTTTCGACACTCAGTTTGATAACTGAACAAACCACTTTGAGTAATATCAATAACATGAGTATGCATTATTCGGAGGCAAGATATTTCGTCTCTGAAAGTAGAAAATTGTTTACTGCTGATATTGTTGAATGTTAAAACCATGGATTTTCTGCCAATTATTAATTATTTAGTGTAAAAATTAATACAGTTTCCTCTGTATTTGCTACATCGCAATTAGGGTAGTGTTCGAGAGAAGGCCTTATCTGATGCTGTGTCACAGGCCAGCGTGTGAACACGCACAAATGCTCGTCGTTAGTCCACTCTCGACATGTACACTATACTCGTGTACATGTCAATTGTTAATATGGTCCAATCACGTTCCTCTCATTCATAGCACTAATTCAGTTCACTTAGCCTATCTCCGCTCTACTGACCCATATAATTGAGCAACCACTTATCATAATTAATTTCAAAATCATTTAATATTAGCATAAATGATTATATATTATGCATTTACTTGTGCTAGCTTGGATTTAAATTTTTTATGCCCAAAATATTTACGTTTTTCGTTGAAATTTATAATTTCAAGTTTAAAATTGCATTTCCATTCAAGTAGGGTTAGTCTTGTGCTTCTGGTGGATTATGAAATTTGTAAATATATTTTCTTCACAATTTCACGTATAGCGTTTGTTTCAAGTTAATTTGAGAATGCATAACACAACTTTTCAATTATATACGTAAAGGAGTTGCCGAAAATTAACTGCGCTTGAGAACGTTATCGTCGTGGTATTATATTATTAGCTTTACAAACGTTCTAGATATTATAGCGTCCGAGAAGCCCATATCTTCAGCAGACTAGTGTGTATTGCTGGGCGGGCTGGACATATCATTTTGTGATTTTCTTATCTCGTTATCGGCCTCTCGTCCCTGAACCTCTTCAACGGGAGCTAAAGATTTTGGCGAAGGCATACGGAGAAGATACATGAAGTACTTATGTTGCTAATTGACCTTGGTACTTTATTCTTGAAATACATTAATTCTAACTAAGACTATATTTGAATTTGAACAACCACTACTCTCATGTATGCCCACTTTTTCGGCAACAGTTAGCTTAAATATTCTATTTGATACAATCCTATTTTTTAGTGTACCTCATGTTTTGAAAGCGAGGTGTATTTTGCGTTTCTACGTCACATTTGTGACGTCAGCCATGGTCCTGGAAATCCGGTTACGTTTGTGGCATTTAAGCTTCGGTCGCCAAGTCTCTCACTGCGTACAAAAAAAATACATGACCGGTTATTTTCCCCGAAGCTTGCGACTGCTACACTACCAGAAACCCAATCGATTTGTTTTGCATCGAACCTTGGAAGTAATTTTTGTTTTTTATTCTTTCTTTACGTTGTCTGGCTTGACGAAAAATGTAAGTAATCAATAGCATTTTTATACGACGAATCAAACGGCTATAAATTAAGGAGTATATATGTTTGGTTCACATTCAGACTTTGAATGCACATTTCTCACTGTACCTTCTTCCCGTTCACTACACGCGATATATAGAAGTTATTATGTAATTTGGCTTGTTTCATGATGCTCTGCGAGAATTAGTAGATCTTCAACGTTTAACATTGGTCTGGATGCTCTTTAATTGCCTTAGCTGCAAGTTTGATTAACTCCAAAGGCTGACAATAACTCAACTTCCGAAAAAACGTGTAAACTGGTCCTTGCCTGAAATGTGATTATATACGTCTGTGAAGTTACTTTCAAGTATGTAATCGCGGTTCATTATAGTAACCGCTATCAGCCATTGTAGCCCAAGTTCTAAGCAGAGAAAATGACCACACAATAGCTTGAAAACCACATTGTTAAATAGGTTTTCATTGAACTTATGTTTTCTCTCTTTTGTTCGGATTGAATTAGCACGACTTGCTGCCGTTTCATGACTCCTTCTGTAATGTGTATAGACGCTGCATAACTATAGGTAATTTGCATAGTCGGAACTCAAGGCGGTCACCGGAATTCTAAAGCCGCACTTGTAGGCTTTCCTCGCCCTCTCGTCTCGGTTGGCACACTCGTCCAATGTTAGAAAGCATAGCAGATTTCGTTCTACTGGGACTTCTCTTGAAGTTAAGCCGCATTCTTCGATTTTAAAGATCGTCGTGAGTTTTCTCCTATTATGAATATCATTTAAGTTAAACAGTTTCCATGTAATTTCAAACTTAATCATTTGTACGCTTATGCATTTGGAAAGGAATTGTTCTCATCGTATCACCGCTTTGAAGAAATTTTCTATTAAGGTATAACTAATCGGAACATATATGCCTTTGTGTACACAGTTATCGTTCAAAATTTTTGCATCACTTCGTTACTATTACTGTTTAAAATAAGTATTTCTATTTGGGTTTAATTCTAGCTGCCTCATTGTCGTTTGAATTGAATTTTCTCATAACTTCCTAATTCTTTCGTTGCAGGACGACATGAACATGGAAAACGACAGCATCGGTTCGCTGTTCCCTTCCAATATCCTGGGGGATGAACAGGATCTCTTCTCTTTGCTTGACACCAAAAGCGACTTGAATTTTGACCTTGCCTCCTCACCTATTCATACTCCTACCTTTTTCCCTGAACTTCTCAATGACCAGAAAGGCGTTGAAAACTACATCAACGACAAGTCGGACTTCATTTCCGAATTTCCAAATTTCATGGATCAAAATAACGCTTGCGCCAACGACACGTCTCTTGATTACGGCGAGATCATGTCTACGGAGGACCTTTACGGCGATGCCATCAAAAACTCTGACGAATTCGACGAAGTTTTGAGCGCGTGCAGAGCGAAGGAGCTATCGGCCGAGATGGCTGCTGTCGCACCTTCCTCAATTGGCCTGCCTGCTCTTCGAGGGGATCCTAAACCTGATCTGTCGCCCGCCTCATCAAACGAGTCCTGGGACTCGGGGGTGTCGGCCGGGGAATCTTCTCCTCCTGAATGTGCCTTGGAACACCGCGTGAGTTTCGTACTATGTAATGAAGACTATATAAAAGCATTATAATATAATGATGACTAATAATACGGCACACCATAATTATCCTGTTACCAAAAGGCACAACGTCAAGACGTGTTAATAATTTACATAAGTTATTGGATTGTAATTAAATTAGGAAAAACTGTGAGACATGAATATTTCTCGTGCAGCTCTCACTAGACCGTGAGCGAGGCTGGTCAGCATCACCTCCATCATCGAGTCCTTCATCGCAGTACAGCAGAAGCAGCAGCGCCACCCTGTCCCCAGCTCCATCATCACACATCACACCACCTCACCTCTCCCCCTCCACCAGCCCCACTCACAGCCACCCCAACATCACCCGCAATGCAACTCCTTCCTTGATCAAAAGTGAGTGAAATATACATAAATACGTTTGTATGATCGCGCTTGTGTGACAAAGTATTGAAATAGTAAAATGGATATTATATTAAATTAGCCGATGTGGGTCTAATTTTGAAATCAGAAATAACATACGTGAACATTTAGGAATCAAAATCAACAAAAAAATATTTCAAGCCGGCAGCATTGACTTTCAATATATACCCCGGTGTTTGTACTCAGTTTGGAAGGATTTGGAATGGGTAAATCTCATCTGAACAATTATTTGGTGAAGTCATCGTCGATTATTTGTGCTGGTAGGGCTAACCTTGTCTTCGGAAGTCTACCCGTCATCAGTTACTGACAAATCGCTAAGAAGTTCGTTCTCTATGTTTAATAGGCAACGGTTAAAGATCTTACTACGCCAATCATTGAAAAAATAATAAGATAATATTCAAGTTCCGTTGACTTGTAGTCGAATAATTTTATAGTCAAAAAGTCATCAATGCTCAATTACTCGGTCGTCTGTTTGCAGTCACCATAATATATAGTAAGCGGGAAGTTTTCATTTCTAGATCATAGGGAACCTTATCTCTAGATTGTAGTGAGCCTTATCTCTATGGCATCGCCATCTTTTGACGTTTATGAAGCTTCACTAGTTTGGAGCTCGGCACCAACAATATCTCTTCTGGGCTATCATTCAAGTAATAGAAATTGCTAAATGTTTCAAAATTGCAAAAGGATTCTCTGGTCTTCAATCAAACTTTCACATAGCAAAGACATTTGCCAAACTATTTAAAAAAAGCGTAATGTTAACTATCTTTATTTACTATAACTGGAAATGTTTTCTGCATTTATCCTACAGATAACATAATTCAGTCGACGTCATCCTCGGCGTCCCCTCAGTTCGTCACTCAGAAGCGACCCAGGTACACATTCACAACCACAAACAGCAACAATGCCACAATCGTCGACAATATCAACACCATCAGTGGCAAGCCTATCACTATTCTCACCACCACACCAAATGCTATCAAGAACAACAATATAAATCCTGTTATCAACAGGGTCACTCCAACGATCATCAACAGGTCGCAATTCGTGACCAAAATCAACGATAACTCCGTCAAGAATAACGCTAACGCAAAACTATCTCCTAAAAGTTCGCCTTCTCCTTCCGTCGTAACGCTGAGCGGTGTCAACAAAACCTCAGGTATCATCAAATCACCTGCAGTTATCAGCGTCAGTCGAAAACATACTCTTGGAAAGGTGATTAGCAGCAGCAACAATAGCGGCACAAACTGCACCGTTATTGGCACTGCCCTCAACCAGGCTCCTAAACAGGTTGCAGTCATTTCACCATCCGGAGAAATAATCGGTAACACGAGCATCGCGAATGGGGCGCAGGTTTTCAAAACGGTCACCGTTTCCAGCGGTAACGGTCGCTTCAACACCGGCAATGCCGCGCGTTTCACAACTGCTAACGGCCAGCAGATCATCTTTGCTCAGAGGGGCGTCGTATCTGGTCTACCTGCCGGCAAAATCGTCAAAAGCGGACAAAACATCCTTGTTCCATTCGATCCTAAAACCATGGAAAAGGTAAGCACGCCCATGGAATATCTTATACCAATATGTGCTTTATCTTAATCTTATCCCAATCTTATCTCTTTTTATAATGTATTCTTATTGAAAAATTTTATTATCGGCTTTCAAGTCGACTATACGGAAATATAAAAGGAAAGTCTCTATTATAAGTAGCCAATTGTCACTGCAATTGTTTGCATCTTATTCAATTGACTTGACATGCAAGTGCGTATTATCACCACTCTCGGTGCACATCATAACTTAGCTGCTTATCGACATCGTTAAGTTCTCTGCATATTTGAGTATTACGTACTTATGTGAAATTTCTATTTGTTTTCGTGTATAATATTCGTTTAAATGTTTCTAGGTTTTTGAGCTGCGGATCTGTATGCGTCAAGTTATTAATGCATTATAACTGAAGAATTTTAACGCCTTTATATGCTTGCAGCGATAAAAACGCATTTTTCTAAATATTTCAGGTCAACTTTCCTATAGTCGTTTTATTTGCGAGAAATAACTTTAAGTCTACAAAATTCTACAGCGCTAAACTCGTTTACAAATAAGACGAGCTTTAAGCTGTGATCGCGATTAATCTTGATATTATCGGGTACGTGCTTCATTCATCAAAAAAAAACATGCCAAACAAACTTCTGGTGTGAGAAAAGTGAAACTTTTATTTCGACTTTTCAGTTGCGCACTATCAAGATTGTGTCCAATAGAAATGGAAACATCACTAGCGCCTCGGGAGTGCGTGCTCTGTCAACGTCTTCAACAACGGGGGCTACAATTTTGCGCACCAATACAACTTCTGTTGCAAATTCCGTTACTGGCGCTAGCAACTCTTTCGTCACTTCAAACAGGCCTCGCACCATCGGCATCGCCGGTAAGCGGTTTTGTGTGTTTTTTTTATCCAATTAAAATGGTAACCGCAAAAAAAAGATGATTCTATTAATAATAATCATGAGCCAATTTATTATATTAATCCTATTTCGATATCCAGGCTTAACGGGCATGTCACGCCCCGGAGGTTGCGTGTCTATACTGAAGAACATGTGCCTGTCATCCGACAAGTCTGAGGGTTTCGCCAGCCTCGTGGCCACTCCCAAGGAGGAGAGTCTCGACTCGGACGACGACATGGAGCTGCCCAAGAACAACCAGCCGCTCGTTCTCACTGGTAAATAATCATTTATTATCACATATTCGTGACTCGGACGACATGGAGCTGCCTAAGAACAACCAGCCGCCAATAATCATTTATTATCACATATTCCTGACTCGGACGACATGGAGCTGCCTAAGAACAACCAGCCGCCAATAATCATTTATTATCACATATTCCTGACTCGGACGACATGGAGCTGCCCAAGAACAACCAGCCGCTCGTTCTCACTGGTAAATACTCATTTATTATCACATATTCTTGACTCGGACGACATGGAGCGACCTAAGAACAACCAGCCGCTCGTTCTCATTCGTAAATACTCATTGATTCTCACATGTCGTGTTTTACGAGAAATTATCGCATCTGCGTTCATGTGTGAAGTTCATTTCCTGAGAAATTATTGCAGGGATTATCCCCGGAAATTTATTTGCATGTTCACAGTCCGGCTCTGAATTTTGTTGAATTTGATGTTTACACTTGTTTATATTTTGAACTTAACATACTTTCACCGCTTGACTGATTTCACTGATCTTGTTATTTTACTTAGAAATTTACTCTGGTTTTTGGAAGAGTTGCCAATTCTGCGACACCAAGTCTTGATGCGTGGGCACTGTTTGCTAAACTTTCCCACTGTTATTCAGCCGTTTCAAAACAGTGGAGAATTTCTCTGAAACGCGTTCTGTTCTCCATGAAAACCCATGCACACTTATGAAACTTGTTGATGTGGGACAATCGTCATAGTTTGTTATGAAGACAAAATAGCGATAAAAATAAATACAAAAAAAAGTTATGAAGACAAAATAGCGATAAAAAATAAAAAAAACTAGCAATATCGCTATGCTAGTTTTTTTTTTTTTTAATTCATACAGCTTAACCAAGCCGAATTTTTTAAAATTCAAAGTTGGTACATAAAACGAACACAAAACAAATCATTAGCCTCTTATTGTCACACTATATATGCGTAAAAATATCTTTATCTTAAAGTTTCTGGAGCATCAAAAAAACGCGAGCCTATGACAAGACAAACAAGTTCTCTCATTTGTTTACAAAGTTATATGCAGATCACAAATCAAGTGATAGTGAATTTGTGAAAGCTGGCGTGTACGTTGAAGGAAATATGCGCATCATATACCTGCCTCTGTTACTTCGAAATTATTCCTCTTCTAGGCAAGGAATCTCAGTCTGTAGTATTATATGGTAAAAGGAAAAAATTTCCTATATAGGAGGAATGCTTTGGTTTTTTCAGAGCTCGAAGTTGCTCTGGGTAGTGGAAAAGAAACGCTGGACGATTGTTTTTCCAGACGCACAATTGCCAAGCGAAGTAGCTGGGGCTCGTGACGCGTCAACTTCTCTCTGTTCTTCTGAAAGAAAACAGAGCTAGTGGCTTTTCTATTTTCTTTGCCCTAGATTTACATTTCTGCTTGCAATGATATTGTTACCAACACGATTCTTGCGGGTCACCGCTGATGCTGTACTGAGCGTTCCTGTATACCAGCGTCACTGCACGTACTGTTATAACGGCGATGTTTTTGTGACTCACCAAAGGGGCTTGAACCTTCTATGGGTACGTGCCTTGGTTGCTCTTGCTAGAATTACCCAGTATTTCTATTCCACACTAAAATAAAATTTTCAGGCCTATTGTTCACTGGGATTCCTACAATGGATTACAAATTGTGTCTAACGCATTTCATGCTTGGTTGCGAGAAGACCTTAAGCTTCTGCCGCTTCCAAAATTTCTGCGTAACTTAAAAATCGATTACTAATATCGGATTTAGCTGTGCTCCTTTTCTCAATTAGGGTTGGGTTCTTCTGTAATTGTCAGTAAACCTGCATTTGGATTCTGTATTGATGCCAAAAAAAACACGCCATAATGACCCAGATGTTAAAAATATTTTAATTTTGCTGCTATATTTAAAAATCACAACTTCTCTACATGCGCACCAAAATGATTGCTGCTGTACATATACGATAAATTTGTTGTCGCCGTATATAGATACGCGCTTAATTGCTTACTGCCGTACATATACGCGCTAAACTGATTGCTGCTGCATGCAAACGCAGGCGCTGACCTGATTGCTGCAATATATAGACGCGCTAAACTGATTGCTGTAGTATATTTGACGCTTTAAACGGAACGCTGCAGTATGTAGGCGCTCTAATAAACTGATTGTCACAGTATACAGACACACAATGCAGAAGGAATTTCCCTGACTGAAGAACCTCGTTCCAGCGCAGGCTCTCTCATTAATGCTCCCACACCCACGTTCTCTGCGACTTTCCCGCGATAACCGCAGTTCGTTGTTGCAGTGACTCGAGCTTTTAATCTCGACTATTATATTATACCAATTATTTGGTTAAGTCTCTGTCTTGTCATCGAGCTTTTGTGTAGATTCTCATGCCGGTCTCATTTGTTATAGGTTCTGCGTTTGTTATGAAAGCTAATGCTATTCATACGTTTCTTCAATACTTTTATAGTTTGAAGAATACGTTCAAATGTATAAGGAAACTGACGTGCACTTCATCACTTATAACATTACTTAAGGTACGAGATAAATAAGACGTCATAACAATGAAATGAAATCATATTACTCTTCAGTACACGATGACTCACCGTAAAACAAAACCGAATTTGAAGACATGCGATTCTATTTCTTTGATTCATCTTGAAACGTTGTTAAGACCGTTGATAAATTCCATGAACATAAACGTGATTGTGTTGAACATATTATGCGACAGTGTCAATATTACATTTACAAAAAAAAATCAATAATGCAGTGTCAAGATATCGTGTCGAGACGTGGTTAAGTTTAAAAAACTAAGCGTGATTGTGCTGAACACATTTCACACATTAAATCGTCATGATGGTGCCGAATTTAGACTAGACACCGCTGAGATGCCGGCGGTGACTCGGCGCTAAAGAAGGTCGCTTTCTCTTCGCCGCCGCGGCGGGTCGTTGGTCGTACGCTGTGACGTTTGTTTGATGATCTGCTACGGCAGTGACGCTTAGTCTCCCATTTTGTTATCCCAATTCATTATGATACAATACGCGTGTTACCCCTTCCACGACTATGGTTAACATTGATATTTAGTGCTTAATTGAAACTGTTATCCTTCCATTATCCAGGAAAAATTTATTAATTACTCCTTGTTGGATAGTTTCCCAAGTATGGTAACCAACCACTGATTATACCTTCGTATTTTATGCAATTAAATGAACACGGAGTTTCCATTCGTCAAGTATGCTTTGGGAGGTCGGTGAAAGTTCTGTATTAACTAATAATTTCTTGCTTGAGTGAACAATTATGTGGCGACTATAGCGTTCATGCATGAAAATGCCGAGCTCGAAGTTATGACAGCATTCGACGAAGAAATGCGACATTCATCATGCATCGTCTATACAATCTAAAAAAGATTTACTTACTTTTTGCACTTCACAAGTACATAAAAGTTTAGCGAAATTTATTAACAACAACAACTTCTGTATAATAATTAAAATATTTTCACATATCCGCGTGTAATCCACGTCTCTATTTTGGTTACATTCTAACCAGTTTACCAGGATTTGCTCTGCAATTCTTTAGTTCCTTCTGGTGAACCTTGAAAAAACAATGGGAAATATTTGAAACGGTAAAATTCGAAGTAAAATCATGATGAAAATATTCTAGTCATTGTAAACATTAAATTACTATTAGTACCTTTGTTGCAACTGCGATTTCTGATCTTATAGAAATTTGCGGTCTTGGCACAATATCATTGCATTGAGCCATTGAGCTTTCTTCAACTACGCTGTGAACTGAACAATTTGATTTTTTTTCCTCACCATGAAATAACCCAATTCAAAAGACGCTTGTAAGACGCTATTATTTCTTTGAAGAGCACGTGTTTTATATTGTCTTTCTTCTGCTGAGAATCAAGAAGCAATTTCCTAACTCGCTTGTCGGCATCTTCAGCCACTTGAAGACCTGGAAACTCTGTGCCATTCAATCGTCGCCTTTAACGCCTCCCGTCGTAGGAGCGACATTGGCGTGCCGAGCTCAGCGCCGCAGCTCTGTAGGTCAATGATCTCTGTCTGGAATGCTGCTGCTGCTGCTGCTGCTGCTGCTGCTGCTGCTGCTGGTGCTGCTGCGGCTTCTGCGGCGGCTTCTCGTGCTGCTGCTGCTGCTTCTCGTGCTGCTGCTGCTGCTTCTCGTGCTGCTGGTGCTGCTGCTGCTGCTTCTCGTGCTGCTGCTGCTGCTGCTTCTCGTGCTGCTGGTGCTGCTGCTGCGGCTTCTCGTGCTGCTGGTGCTGCTGCTGCTGCTTACTTGTGCTGCTGCTATTGCATCTTGTGCTGCTGCTATTGCATCTTGTGCTGCTGCTGCTGCTTCTCCTGCTTCTGCTTTGGCTTCACTTGCTGCTGGTGCTGCTGTTTCTTTTGCTGTTGGTGCAGCTTCTATTGTTACTTTTTCGACCTTCCACTGCTATTTTGCTTTCCAGTCTAATGCTACATCACTTCCGTCTATTGCTACATTACCCACTGAATTCTTCATGTGCACCTCACACCACTCACCAGCCTCACTCCACTCACCAGCCTCACTCCACTCACCAGCCTCACTCCACTCACCAGCCTCACTCCACTCACCAGCCTCACTTCACTCAGTCCACCAGCCCCCGCCACCTTGTTGTATAGAATTGTGTGGATTTATTATAGTATTATTTATATATTGCTGTATATTTTTTACAGCACAGCATAGAGAACACAGCATAACATAGGTACTAATGCTGGCGTTGATATGACATGTCACAAATTCTTTGGCTGTTCCTATCTTATTTGCAGGCGATTCGAAAATTACCTGTTTGCTAGATATTTGTTGATCATTATATTTTATTGTTTTGTATTATTGTTTACTTCTTTTTTTTTGGTATGCTGTTACATCACCTTGTATGATGGGAGAATTTCTTATATGCGTGTATCTTCTACTGCAATTTTCCTTAATTACTTGTTTAATTTTTAATGGTTCACTATGTCGTCTAGTGTTCTTACACTCAACGTCATTTATATATTTCTGCTATCATCGTTTCCTACGTCATTTAATTCAATCTCATCGAAACAAAGTCGAATAAATTATATTGAACCATTTCTGTTCTCGGACAGTGATATCTCTTACGTTAATAGCCTCTCTATAAAACGCAAACAAATTAATCCCCCCCCCAACTTACATAAGAAATCTCGGAAAATTCTACAAAGGTTTGAAATTAACCTTATCTCGGCAGTGATAATTTCTACCAAATGTGCGGGTTAGAATAGTGGCTTGTATACTTGCCATAAATCAATGCATACCGTAGTCAATTTTTGCCGTGTTCAAAACGTCGTTGTGGTGTTAACTTAGTATACATTTCCTCTGACGAATTTTCTGTATGTATGTTAGCATGTTATCCATGTTATGTATGAAAACACTAGCCTACGTTATATGTCTGTTTTCAAAGGAGTGTTCCTTGTGACCTTCTGACTATCATGACCAAAGTATTAACTTTTTTTGTCCACCGCAGGCCGACTTAGCCGGTTCTCACTGCCGCGCTGGTTCTTGCCTTCGGTCAAATTCCGTTTTACAACAGTGCTTCGTACTGCTTTTCTTCGCAAACCCAACTTGATCCAGTATAAAAGCTATTGTATTGCTCTGGATTGTCTTTTATCGACAAGTTCAACCTACATTCAAAATCTCGAATAAGACATTACCTTGATTTGGGACTCGAATGAAGTATATGTGATATTCGAATGTTGTTTATTCAGTATGGTCCTGATAAATTGTATCGTTGATGGTAAATATAAATCCCGTAGAATATCCTCAGATAAAGAAACCCTGTTGTTATTTCTGGTGAATTCTTACGTAAATAAATCTGCTCCCGGGGCTTCAGAAAGGAGTTTTTGCGTCATTTATCAGATTGAGATCTGTGCGGCCGAGACCTTACCTCCAAATATCTGGATGCTCGAAAGCAGTTTTTTTGGAGATTAACCTGCGATATGAGAGGCCGCTACGTGTATAAGATTTTAGTCCTACCTTGTTTATTTCGGTTTTTGAGCCATTTTTAAACAAAGAGAATTGTAATTTCGTTGCCTCTGCTAAACGAACGAATATATGCGCAAATATCGTCCCCGGTTATTCGCTGCGTTGCACTTTTTTCCCCACACTTCCCACGATCGTTTTCGATCATCTTTCGTATATATATTGCCCGAATATCCCGACACTTCCAAAAATCGTATGCGGGCACGCACTACATTGTACCAAAGCGCTCGTTTCTAACGAGATGAATTTACGCAATAAGAAGACCATGCAGCCAAGCATTGCGATTACCATGACCTCTGAAATGGCGTGTGAAAGTGCATTGATGCAGCACTGAACCATGCGGGTCATCGTGGCAGAGATGTGCTCTCATTTTCCCCTACGTTCCAATTCTGGAATATTCTCGTCTCATCTTATGCCATTCTTTCTATTAAACATGGCTGGCTTTTAGTTTTTGACCGTCTATCGTATCTTGAATGTAACATTTTGATCAATTCCATGAATATATTTAAATATCATTATTAGTGAGCATACGTATTCATCCTTCTTGTTCCATTTTATAATTGTTTGAATCAATACTCTAGATTATTTTCATTCATCGTTATTTAAATGAATTATTTTCGTTTACTTTGGAAAAAAGCACAACTTCATGAATTCTGATTCATTTTTCAGCGCCCTCATTTACAGATTCATGTCATTTGGTGACATAAAGTTATTTTTCACGCTTAATTGCTTGATCGGATGTCGCAGTCTCGGTAATAAAAATCATCCATATTCTTCTAATTATAATTTTGATTATTTATTCCATAATCTTTTAATTATCACTTCACATAATGAACCTAAAGTAGCATCGGATATCGTTACAAATTTCATCTACTGAATATTTTCTCAAATAATTGATATTAGAATTTGTTTGTCGCTGAAGTGATGGTATCTCCTAGCTGTAGGCCTACTGAGCCGGAAAATTCTGTGGTCAAAGATTTAATTGGACTTGCGTCCCAGGCTCATATTCTGATGTTCTTCGGACCATATGAGCCTCGTGCATATGAAACCCATATGTTATACTGTACTCCCATTCAATTTATAACACTCGGCATTTTTAAATTTTATGATTTGGGATTATACACGGGATTCATTCTTGATTCGTTAAAATTTTGTCCCCACTCATGCATTGCATCATTGCAATTCATTCATGTCCGAGCTTGTTCAGAATATGACTGGCCTCGGCATGGGATATTTGTCATAGTTCACTCAACTGCCTAATGAACTTAATCGGTTGCGCATAACTTTCGTACCCGATTGCAACTATAATATTTTTCGACGTTGGCACATAACCAACTTTTGCAAGCTTATTTTTCAATCATTAACTTTTGCAAACATGATATTAAATTCTTGTTCATTTAATGACCTGTTGATGCTGTAATGACCTGTTGATGCTGTAATGACCTGTTGATGCTGTAATGACCTGTTGAAGCTGTAATGACCTGTTGATGCTGTAATGACCTGTTGATGCTGTAATGACCTGTTGATGCTGGAGCGTTGCCGCCATGTCGTGTTCTGGACTGCGTATATATACGTCTCCGCGTAGCGGTATACGCCGATGAACCGTTATTATGCGCCTACAGCACGGAACCGGTCCCCTGTGTACCGCTTACGTGCGTAAATGAAGGTGCGCTGCGTACGGGACCACGCACTTCGCTGCTCTTCTTTTGTCTCACAATTTATATGATTTTAATATTGATCAGCTTCTCTAGAATTCCCTGCTGATCTCCGGGAAATTATTGTAGCATATTTTAAAGCTTTTGTCTATTTAATTTTGCTCCGCGTGAAGTGATTTAATCAAAAGACATTCTTTATCTCAATGCAACTATCCATGAACTAAACCCGCTATTTGTATCAATTTTTCAACATGATGGTTCAAAATGTCTTAAGGTCTTGTACTAAGACCTTTAGACATTCATTCATTTTTTCATATTAGCAAGGATCTTTCTTACGCACGAACGACTCGGTCAGTGATCCTTGTCCATCCCACATATCCAGGCACTGCTTCATACTCCTTGCCCATCCCACATATCCAGGCACTGCTTCATACTCCTTGTCCATCCCACATATCCAGGCACTGCTTCATACTCCCTGTCCATCCCACATATCCAGGCACTGCTTCATACTCCTTGCCCATCCCACATATCCAGGCATGGTTTTGTACGCCTAGCACGTACATCCTATGCATTATTCTCATTGACATTCAACGAGACTTGTTTTAGTACAGTTTGAAGTCAACCATTTGGTCAACGACCCATGAATCGCTAGATGTCGCAGTTTGCTACAAACGGTGTTCTAACTACGTACTCATCGTTTGCACGAATATTATAAAATTTAGATTATTAATTGTGGATTAAATTGCCCACATCAATAATTGCCGATAAATCCAGAATTAAAAAAGCGTTGTTATGGATTCCTTGCTTATTATTGAAATGACCAAATAGGTTCTCATTATAGCTGCAACAAACTCTCATGAAAAGCTCGCGCACGAGCGATGTATGCAATAATTTTATGGAGAATCTATTGCTATTGGAAACAGTGTCGTTGAAGCCTCTTCACTTGAAACCATCGACGAGCTTGTTCCGCTTGTGTAATAAAGATGTAGCTTGTACTGTACCGCCGCAGTGGAGATGTACATTGTACAGTACCGTCGCAGTGGTGATGTATGTTGTACAGTACCGCCGTTGTGGTAAAAATGTAGTTTGTACAGTACCGCCATTGTGGAGATGTACATTGTGCAGTACCGCCGTTGTGGTAAAAGATGTAGTTTGTACAGTACCGCCGGTGTAGAGATGTACATTGTACAGCACTGCCGTAGGTCATCAACCTTAACATGTTCACGCACATTTGTCGCGGTTGCCGCTGCGTCCGTCGTTCGTCGTGCATGGCCAGCGGTCGCTCGAACAGCAGCCGGTGGTTCTAAAGCGTCTCCGTTATCTCTGCTCGCGCTGAGCTTCACTCCTTCCCTGTTCACTCTCGTAATCGTGAGGGCTTTTCAACTATTGAACTGTCACGCATTTTTTAGGCGTAAGCCTCGCATAGGCGTGGTGAAGATGCCATTTAAAAGTTCTTGTACATCAAAGTTGTATTCTGAATTGCGTGCTTATTGTTGTTACGTATCGAGCTGAAAAAAAATGTTTATAACTGTTTCGTGTATAATTTTAGTGAATTCTTGACCTCTTTGAATCACATTAGGACTGATTTTAACTCGGAAGATATTTTTTATTTGATGCTCGTAAATTTTTATCTGTCTCTTAGAAATATTATTGTCATATACACAGTTGAAATATTTTATTTTATTTTAGTTAAATTTCGACACGATCGTAGAATTTGAATTTTAGTGTTAATTTATGTTATTTTTTCTGTCAGGTGTCGCATTTGAATCATAGGTTCAAATTACTAAATTACGTACAGTTATCACTGATGAAATAGAATTAGCGCTGCACACATTTATTTCGATCCTTCTTCAGATCCGAAAGAATTCGACAAAAAATACATTGCCACGTTGAAACGAAACATTGGAGGATTTTTTTTAAGTAGTCTATAGTTTGTAACAAATGTGCTTATGATTGCTGAAAACAGTCATCATGGAAATGAGGTTTAAACATGTCTTGCTGAGTCGATCGTAGCATTACAATCTTGTAGCATTAAAGCTATTAGGTAGAAACATTGTTTTAATATTTGAGTTTAATGTTCGGTTTGAAGTTTCGTTTCAATGAATGTTTTTGAGTAGTTACATAAGAAAAATTTGATTCTATATGTGATATATTATTGCAGAGGAGGAGCAGAAGCTGGTGGCTAAGGAGAACGTGAAGCTACCCTCGCACTACCCGCTTACGAAGCGCCAGGAGCGCGACCTGAAGCGCATCAAGCGCAAGATCAGGAATAAGATCTCAGCCCAGGACTCGAGGAAGCGCAAGAAAGAATACATGGATAAACTTGAAGAAAAGTGAGTCGTATTCTCGACTGGGTATATTATTAACATTACCGTCCCCTGACGTGTACAAATCTAATTGCTTTTCTTACACTATAGTGTCTTGCGCAAGTCTTAGGTTTAGTTTACGGTTGGAATCATTTTCGTTATTCTTTATTTTGCATGATTTCTATAACAGTTATTGAACACGAATTGATAATATTTATCAATTTGAGAATATATGATTTAGAATAGTTATTTGCATTTTTTACTGTATCGTAAGTACCAAATGTTCTGTACAAATTGGTGCGGCTCAAATAATGTTTAGCGATTTTGCATTTACATCGTACAATTAAACAGCTTCTGCTCCTTGTTATCTACTCTAAAACTTCTGTGTTGTTAAATCATTGTTATTTGCCCTGAAAATTCCAAGATCAACCCTGCCATTTTCCCAAATATCAGTCGCTAATGCAGTCAAAAATTTATTTACCTTGAATTGTTATAATTATATAGGAACTAGTTCATTTCGATACAAAAGGAACATCTAAAAAATATCGCTTATCTTCAAACGTAATATTTGAACTTTCTATTTCCAGGATCAACTTAAGTTACCGAGAAAACGAGAGATTGAAGCTCCAAGTTGCGACTCTGGAAGAGAGCAACAAAAAACTTTCAGAACAGCTTCAGAAATTCCAGGAATTAATGAACTCGCAAGCTGCACCGACAGTGACACCCAACATAAGTGCTTCACACCATAACCATCATCACCACAACACCCGGCAGCAACATCCCTCTGCATTCCTCTTAATGATGATATTGTCAGCAGCGCTATTCATTTACCCGTCCGTGCTACCGCAGGGCAAGGGGGGCGGCGAGCTGCTCGCTACCGTCGCGCACAAGATGCCCGCTGCAGGTGAGACAACGCCAGCATAAATTATTATTGTGTGTGAGAATTATAAATGAATATATTAAATAAATTATTATTATTGTGAACTTCCACACTCACTGGAATTACTGGGTCCGGTACTCACTGCAGTGAGTGACAGAGAGCGCATTTTCTCGTCGACGGAAACGTGAAGTCACGGACAGACGGACGGACATGACGAGCACAATAGGGCACTTTTTCCATAAATGATAAAACGCGCTAAAAAGACTAGGTCATGTTGTTAGAAGGGTGGTACACAACAAAAATTGACTGGGTCAATTTGTCCAAATAGTGACACACACCATCTGCACTCAGCACTGATATACCTTTTTCCGGGCCAAACTGGATCAGGATGACCCACACAATGGGAAATAGTGCATCGCTAGTGCACCCTGGAAAATGTTTGTTAGTGACTATAAGAGGCGCGTTATACAAGAATGTCGGTCCCTTGCCTACATTAGCAACACGAGAAGAACCACGTGTTGATTTAATTTCCTAAAGTGGAGATTCTGATCTCATCCGAGGGAAGTTAAAAACACTAATTCAATAAAATTGAAGACTTGTAGGCTACGAAGGGTATTTTCTAATGAGTGGATAAATTTTTTTTATAAATTCGTATTAGATTAAATACTAGCTTCAAAGTACGTTGAAGAATGCATAATACAAGACAATATTGAATAATTTAAAAATAATCCTCGTACCATTCATGTATCCTGAAGCGGTTGACTGATGCGAAATCCCTTCCATGCTGGCAAATTTCGAAGATTAATTGACGGAGTGAAAATTGGTGCATCCTTACTAATTCATGTTCTATTTTTGTGCAGGAAACAGCCGCAGTTTGCTAGAAGCTGCCACGGCAAAGCTGTCAGTTTGCCAGGAAGGCGACAATTTTGGAGAAGAGCTCAAACTGGAGAGCTCAAGCGTGACCAAACTCGACGTGCTCAACGACCACGACTACGCACCGCCTATGAAACGCGGCCGCTTTGACCTCAGCGTCCGCGGCGACGATTTCTGCATGAAAGATTTTGACGATCACTTGCCTCCTCCCAGGAAAAAAGAAAAACTCAGTACGGATGAACTGCGTTCAACTCTGAACGCGAGCCCGACGAGTGTTGACATCAAAGAAGAGTCGTTATCGCCGCCTCCATTGCCTGAGGAACCAACATCCGAAGGAATCTTGGGGCTCGAGTTGGCGGACAAGAAAGAGGCTCTCGGAGGAGACTCCGATTACTTCAAGAAGCTCCGAGACACCATCACCTCCGCTCTGATCAGCGGATTCACCAAGCACCACAACCGCACCGTTCCTCCCAACAACCGAGGTTTGGCTGCTGGGCTTGCTTCCCAACTAATCGTTGAACTGGAAGGCAAACGGTTCCGTGATGACTTGGAGTTAGAGTGAGACTGTGAATTTGTTTTCAATGGAAAAGATTGGTGTTCAGTGCGTTTGATGCGTCCCTACTTGTAGCATTTTAATCATGATTTCTGCAACGGCAACAGATTAAATTTCTCATCAAGCTTGGACGTACCCACGAATCTTAATCGCTGACTTGCAGCAATGCAGACAATCGCATCGTCATATTCATTGAGCCCCTATTTCTCAAGGGAACAACCAACAATTTTATCTCCATCATGCAGTCACACTTTGAGGATATTTGCTGATGGCAAAGCATGATTCAGCTACCATTAGCTAAATCGTCCATCAAAATGTGAAAGGTTTCCTAGCCCAATCAATGTTGAAATCCCATATGTTTGGACAAGCGATGAGGACTTTTAGGTCCTGATTTGTCCGAAGTTGGTCGCAGATATTGCGCTTATTACTTACAGCTTTTCGCGAGCGTACAATTTGATGAGCCTGATCGTCTCCATCTCGCCTGCTGTGTTGGGCTTGTGCGAGTTTGCTGACCCTGCCGTACAACGAAAGTTCAAGCGTTTCCTCACCTTATCCATCTGTTGGAGTTACTCGAATTTCTGGCGTTTAGAAAATTTACGAAGGTTTGCGATGTTTCTGTTAAACGCAGAATCGTGTGTGCTTTTTTCTTTTCTATTTTAGATTTAAGATTGTCGTTATGTGTGTTGCAAGAAAAACAAATAAGTTTAATTCTTACGCAATTATGTGCAATTAAACTTAAGCTGCATCTCAAGAGTTGAAAGGTACCTCCAGATCAGTACATATTATACATCTTCATGTAGAAATTATTATAAGCATTTGTGTTTTTGTATTCGCGTGTATTCTTTAATTATGTAAAAAATTTTGAATTGATATCAATCTGAGCCATCTGCTGGTAACTGCCCTGAGAAGCTGTGGTTCTCTGTGCAACACATGTTTCGATCAGGTTTGACTTAGAAATATCGCTTGTCAATGAGCACGCTTTGTTTAAACTTTCCATGCTTTGTACATAGAAATGGTATAGCATTTTTAAACTTATTGTCACCGCTGTGGTCTCACTTAGGCAAAGTCAGGAGCACTAAATTCTCGTTGCAGTCGAAGATTTCACCCGGAAAATCTTGTTCCTTCAGTGGATTTACTTGTGTGTGAGTCTTTAATCGCAACAACTATCATTCAATACGCATTCTATAGGGCTGATTAGGCGTGGATCTTTATTCTTATGAATAGTTTTTTAATTATTACTTGAAGAGTTTACATTTTTTTAATAAGTAGACAAATAAGTTTAAGGCTTTTGCTTTGTTGAGGGACAGAGATTTTACTGCTACGTTGCTACATTGTCTAGGGATGCAAGGTTTTAGCTACTAAGGTTAAACTTCAATGCATCGAAATGTTCTCTACAGTCATGTTACTATACAATGTTACTTCTATCAGCTTGATGTTGCGTGCAATGATACTTTATCAGCTTGAAAAAATGTGTATAGTTTTCTCATCTTCTTTTTATCGTGTTAAGTTTCATTTTTTGACCTAGTAACGCTTGATTACATTCGTTGGCTTATTTTTTAAGCTTAAGAAGTACAAAATTAAATATGATGAATTAATATTTATTCTGCGACTGATGAGTGCATTTCGCCATGCCTTACTAATCGGAGATCTACATTGGTTCCCTGATTTTCATTGACAATTGTTGTACATTTTTCCATAATTTGTGTTGATAATAATAATCAAAGAAGTGAGCACTTTTTCGTTGATTTTTATAGCATATTCGAATAATTCTATCATTCTAAGTGGACCGGTGAGTGGCTTGTGACGAGCCCCATGAAACGCTTGAATTTTTGTGGTTGGTGTAGAGGCCCCAGCGTGTCTCGATGATGTAATATTGATGTACACCTGGTGATGAGTTCATCGTTTTACTACATCCTTCACTGAACAGTTGCTGCCATTGATGATGGTTTCAGGAACTTTCGCTCAAAAGTCGTATTTTGAAGCCGAATTTTATAGTCTCCCAACTAAGTGCCATGGATCCAACTTAGTCACGTACTCTTGAAAAAATCGGTAGGAAATGCGTTAAGACTTGTAAAGTCGCAGTTTTGAACAAAAAATTTTTAGGCCTAAAAAGTCGAGCTGCGGACTAAGAAACACGTGGAAGCCTGACGAGTCTCATTTTTTTACTAGAAAGATCTAAGCCTGTATAAAGTCGCATTGCGGAGTTTAAAAACACAAGAAGGCTTGTAGAGTCTCATTTTTGAAGTAGAAAGTTATAGGTCTGAAAACTCGCATTTCGGTACCAAAAGAAACGTGTGAAGGCTTGAAAAGTCGCAGTTTAAAATTTGTGCTTAGTGAAGTGCCGGTTGAAGTTCTGAAACTTTATTCGCTCATTTTATATGTAATGGAAATTTTGTTGCTACATTTCTTTATCAAATTTTGAGTACCAAAAACACCCGCATTTAGCAATAGGCAATTCTCATTTGAATGCCGCTCAGCACTCATAGGCCTCGAAATGGTAAAAAATGTCGGACTAAGGAAATAATTAAATTATCATGATCAATGTCCCTAATTTGAAATTTGATCAGATATGTTCAATTTATTCTAATCCTCGACTGATGTTAATGTTAATAGTTTCATTTAAATCAAAAGGTGAAGTTGTCCAACATCAATATTGAAAGATTTATTTCTCATTTGATTAAAAGGACGCATGTTTCCCTACCGCTCGAGTGAGCCATAATGAGGAACCGTTAAGAGCAAGCTCATCAAAAATCAATAAGGTAAAATTTATTGATATATCTTGGGATACGTGGCCGCTTTGGCTCAGATGCTAATTAACCCACCATATAATTATACGACCGTTTTCCAAAGATCAGTTACCATTACCAATGCATAACAGCTCCAAAATAGTCTATAATAGCATACATTAAAATAAAATTATTTTTGAATATCAAGAAATTGTCAAAAAGTTCTCTTTGTCTATACTCTGTCTCTATATTCTATTAGCAACTTCAAAGCTCACAAAAATCAGAGCGTCAGTTGAGGGATCACTTATTCAGTCTGTGAGAAAAATACGTTATAGTTGTATTTGAATTACCTTTTCAGCTTCCTGAATGATAACACACGTTTGAAGTAATGTACCAGTCGTGGACGAGATTTATCAAATAAAGTATCCACCAAAGATATCATCCAGGCACTTTTTTTTGTCCATTTTTGGGCGGAAGTTTTGAAACGCTCTTATTTGAGGCAACTATCAAAGACGTATGATTTTCTCGAACTTATCCAGCTCAATTTTCATTCAGCATCAATTAAAATTAGTCTTTACTTAAAAACTTTTTAAATATTATTGATTCGTATTATTTATATATTCTTACGTAAATAGTTCCGTGTGAAACAAATAGTTGGAAACAATAAAAAAACGTTCGAATTTATCAGTGGATCTAGGCCTAGCAGAACAAAGAAAAACGTTTACTATTTGAGCTGCGTACGCGGTACGTCTAATTCTCACTCTCAGTCGAGTCGTGGAGCCAGTCGGCGAAGGTGGTGCAGATTATGTGTAGCATGGTCGCTGTCGCAACGTGGTTCTACTTCTGCTCAATTCCTTGGCTAAGTTGGCTTAGCCTAACATCTACCGTTAACTATTGGAGTACCATATCGGCAGAGGTGGGCAGTAGCGCGCTACATGTAGCGGCCGCTACTAGCGGCCGCTACATTTTCAGTAGCGGTAGCGGCTCTACATTTAAGGCAATGTAGCGGTAGCGGTAGCGCCCGCTACATATTTAAGTAGCTATACGAGGTTTTGCCGCTACAGCGCTACCGCTACATTTATAGATTAAGCCTTTAGATTTTACTTAACTTGTCCTCCATCTCCTCTGACTGTCCTTGAGCAGCCGGTGTTGTCTTGGCAGCTTGGAAGTGATTGACTGAGACAGTAGACTTCTCCAAAAATTTAATATAAAATTATTGTTTTTCTGTAACAGTGGGCCTCTGTGTCCTGTGACTGTGAGTGCTGTGACCATAAAGAGACATTTTCAAAATATAATCCAATGTTTTGAAAACATTGGAAATGATTGGATTACCATTACTAGCCTAGGCATTACCACAAAAAAAAAAACGCTGAAAACATCACAAACCATTACCACAAGAAAAAAAAACTATAATGTCACAAAACATTATTTTGTGTTCTTTTCAGTTATTATTATTCTTCATTGAAGAGCCTGAAGACAAAGAGTTGATGTTGCTGTTGGTGCAGAGTGAGCAAATAGCTGTGATAATCTTTGGCAAAATTTAAGCATCAAATCATCTCCAGGGGATCTTATGGACACATTTTATCTTTAAATACCTTTTGACATGTAAAGATGTATTTTTGGCAAGTAATCATGGATTTTCAGGCAGGCATAGAATATATCTTATCTACTTAGCCACAAACAAAGCCTTCCTACTATTTTTGAAGCTACAAGATTCCTGATAAGTGAATTTTTTTCTATCTAAGTGTTGATAATACACAATAGTATGCAATCAAGCCCTTGTGATCAATCAAGCCAATCATAAGCTTGGTTTTTGAGCCATGAATCTATTTTCTAAGCTTAGGATTATAATATTCAAACCCAAATAGATTTTTCATCATAAATCTAATTACATTTTAATGACTAACAAATTCATTTTCCTTCACTTTAAAAATAATGTAGTGCCTTATATGACATTATTTTGCTTTTGTCAAGGGTATGTTAGTTTCAATACTGTAGACTATTCTGTAAATTAGGTAAACCTTTTAGGTTGACCTGGTTGAAATATTTTTTAAGCTTCCTATGAAGTCATCTTGACCTAAATTGACATCCATATTTAGTTGCAGGTCAATTAATCAATCAAAACCTAGGGGAATCACACAAATCTATAAATTATGAACTCTGCCTGAGTAAATTGGGAAATTAAACATTATAGAAATCCAATGTTATTTACAATGAACTTGTATTAATGCCTTTCCAACTGTTTCCCTACTACGTAATATAATAGAATATGTGAGATATATTTTGTCAAAAATCGAGCTCTGTGATTGGTCTCTTGAGCCAGTTGAGACTTTGTTGCACACTCATTTTTGTACATAATGATTAATCAATCTTTTGCAAGATTGTCAATGGCATTCAAGAATGTCATGAAAATAATTGTGTAAAAATATATTTTACCATGATATAATGAATCTTTTATATATATATGAGCATCTTGTAAAAATTGCTAGTACGCTTTTGATCATTATTAATATTTATTTTTTACCCAAAAATATGCCCTGGAAGCATTTTTATTAAACACCCTTAATATTCAGATTGAAAAGTTTATACCAAATATCTGATTTTACTAATACTTAAGAGATTACTTAATAATCTGTTTGTTGGGTATACATGTGCATCTATGTTTGGTGCACTTGTACATATATATATATATATATAATCACTCAAATGCTACCTCTAGGAGCAATGACACCTCTCGAAATTGAATTTAGCAATTGTTTGTATTTTTAGCTGTAATGACTGATATTTTACAACTTAGCCCTGAATTGTGAACATGTAGTTTTTTGTTGAAGAGTAGTAACTCTGAGAAAGATAATCATTTGTTGAGATTTGAAAATCCAATTTTCCAAATCCAGTCATCTAGTTCCAAATTCAATCACAGTTAACCCATTAATGACGAGAATTATTTTCTGAATTTTTTTTCGGTTCCTTTTGAGAATATTATCATTTGTGATGGTAATAAGCAAAAAGTATGTTCATATATTCATTTTTCGTTGTATGTGAAAAATTCTAGCTTGGTTCCATATGGAACCGCTCGGCATTAACATAACGTTTCTTCAAACAACACTTTTCCGATAGTAAATCAAGCAAGGTTGTTCATAATGGAATAGATCTAAGATCTAAACAAATAATTTCTAAATACAAACAAGTTTTTGAAATACAATGCGTAACTATATCACAAAGTAATCTACTGGGAAAATGATATGACTGGAATGCTTACACTACTGCCGAGCGGTTCCATTTGGAACCAGGCAAAATATTTCATGATCTAAATGACTTTAGAAACATTAAATCACGTAATACCATATACAGCATTAAAAGTACTCTCTTTGTCGATAAAATTCTGCATCTAACTAATAAATAATATATTTTTAGAACGAACTACTTACGTTTCTCTGCAATGATGTCAAGCCCTAATGTCTGACAGCCGGTACTTACAATCTTTAAATGTTAACTGAGCAGGGAGTAGTCGGCGCAGCTGAACCAAACGTTGCCAGAACACGTCCAAGATGTGTATAAAACCTACGCATCCACTAGTATATTGATTTGACCATACAATTTTATTATGAATCAATTTCTTTCCGCTGGTTCCAAATGGAACCGCTCGGCATTAATGGGTTAATGTATTATCTCCTTATGCTAAATTTTGAATGGAGAAAAGGCCCACTGTTTATGATAAACTGCAATATAACTTTTTTAAGATCTCAAAATGCTGTTGCTTATATATTTCTTGAAACAAATTTACTACTTTTTTCATTAAGTTGAAAATACATTTTGAAATGGATTTAGGATTTTTGATGGAGTGTTTCGCTACAAATAGACAAAATTTTGCTCACAACCTTATGATGTGTGTAATTTAGTGCTGCATTCATTTTAAATTATATAAAAAAGGAATTGTATGTGGTTCATGTACCTAATTGAAGATGTTTGTATTATCCAAACATTTGTACATTCTCTGTAAATTTGATTCTAATATATTTTCTCTTTCAGTTTTAATATTAATTTAAATTGAATTTTGACATTTTATAGCTGCTTCAGCACCTTACAATATTTCTATTGGTTTTATAATAATTTAACTTTATAATTAACTATTTATTCATCAAGGATTCTGTGATTTAGGTAAGTATTAACATATTTATCTGTCTTTGGCAAATTATATCCCATGCTTTAAGATCGAATTGATTAGATTGGCCATTTGTGTAAATTATGTACAGGTGAAGATTATATGCAGATGTTGATAATCTAAACATACAGATCCAAATAATAAACTACAGTAGGTAGTATTCTAATTTTATGTTAGAGACTTTCTAATAGGATTTTTCTTGCTATCTCCAACAATTTTTGTTTTATTTTCCCTTTCAGACATTTGACTATACAAGTTTCAACTATTTGGAGTGGAGTCTACCCCATTCAACTTCAGGTAATTATATATATTCATATATGCATGCTATATTTCCTTTTGAATATAAAAATATTATACTTTGTAAGCATATGACCTATGTAAGTTAAACTGCTTGTAAGAATTAGTGTAGCTGGAAACAATCCAATCGTTTATTCCTCTAGAATCCACCAAGTAGCTTCAATGGTAAAAAACATCAGTTTATTTGTAGTTTTGTGTCCTACAGCAAAATATCTCTATTGTTCTTGATGAAATGTATTTTTTGTTTGATGCACATTCTTAAGAAATTTAACATGATTGTGTGATGATGATGAGGAAATTTAACATGTCTAATGATTTATCTACAGAATGTTCAAAAGGAAGAAATCCTTGGACAACAGTACCAGTTTAACAAACAATAAGAACCTCCGAAACAGTCCCAGGAAGTGGGTTGACCATGATGGCCCTACAATTCAGGTAAGAATTCTAATTATTATTTTCTATAGTTTCTATAATTACTAATAAAAATGGTAATACTCTTCTTATTGTACTTGTCAAGTGCAGCTCTGAATTCTTGCATTATTCAATAACTATAATCTCCTAAGATACCTACGTAGGTATGTACTTGCAGTATTTCCATGGCCTTGGAAATGTATTATATATACTGGAAACTATTTTATCCTACAAGCATAATTTTTTAGGTATCACGCTAAGACATTTATTTACTATGCAAAGATTAGGTTATAAATATTTAACACGTTGGCCGCGATGTGTGCCATATATGTACACGCTGTACTTCTCAGAATCGCGATGTGTACACATGTGGTACATTCATATGAAAAATACATATTTTTATAAAATCTTATACCCTGCAGAGCTGCACACAACTTTTCTCCTTGCTATCTGCCGGGTAACTGAAGATATACAAGTTTGAACCTATCGCCCGTACGGCATTCGGGCCAAATCAGCAATCGCGGCCAACGTGTTAAACAAATGTCACCTTAATTATGATCTTTTTTTCTTGCTTTTATGCCATTTTACATGTGCAGCTAATCCATATCCACCAGGAATTACAAATTTCATAGATATTTTAATCAAATTTTGCATTCAGGGCTTTTTTGGTTGGTGGAGGAAGATGCTCTTAAATACCTTTGTTTTAATTTTTTTATTTGTTGGAAAATATTATGAAAAATTTAGGCTGTAAAATTTTTTGTCAGAAGTGACATGATATAACTGATAAAATTGTCTTGATATTTATTTTGGCCTGAGGGAAGTTTTTCCCTGCAAATATGTATACTGTTATTCACTCTTGACTTGAAGACATCAATAATCATGAGGTTTTCTTGTTTTTAACTTGTTTACTCTGATGCATTGCCAATGAATTTCTATGTCAATTTCAGAATGTTTTTTATATTTTCTGAAATGAATCAGCCTTGATTGTTTTGATTGTTCATTATAATGAACTTTGATGGTTATTGATGTTCATACATTGTGTTAACTCTTTATATATTTATAAAACGCTTCAGTGATTTAACCTTTTTGCAGGAAAGCAGAGAAATGTGCCAAAATTTGATTTTTTGAAGCCAGTAAAAGAAAGTAAGACCAATTCCATTATATATTTCACACATTTATTTTCAAGACATTGTAAATTGAAGGAGTAAATTGCCGTTGAAGAATTCATTTCATAGTCATTTATGCACACAAATGTTATCAGGAAACACTCTGTTACTGGTCATTATAATTATAATCAAGTTACTGATTATAATTAAATAGATAAATTACTACTACTAACTACTTTTATCTTCCTGAAAAATTTGAAAAAGGCATTGATTTTGTTGTTAAAGTCAACATTTTCATTTAAATGCTAATATTTAATTTTTGAGCATAGTACCGGGTGATGTCAAGAAGGAAACAAATGTCAGATGACTGATAATCAGCAAGTGCAAGATAAAATAGCCTCAAACAGAAACTGGTGGCTGTAGTGGGTCTTCTTGGGAGATTTCAAGTGACCAAATATGGTAACTTGCCTACTAAAGAGACCATAAGGAGTGTTATAGCTTATAATTGGATATTTATCTTTACCAGCTTTTTTACCATATTTGGGCTTATTCTAGTTTTTTAAATCTCAAGGGTCCTGAGGCAATGCTGTGTGAAGCAGGCATGGCAGCACAGCTGGCCATTCCTCCTTCAGATCGCACCCCTCTGCTGCTCTCCGATCTTCGCACGCAGTTCCACTGGGCGTCTTTAGAGGGCCATTATGATCCTTATAAACAGTAAGTTTCTTGTCTAGCAATGCAGACTTTTCCTGAACATTTTTTTATTTGTGTTCATCTCACCAGTACCTAAAAAAACATTGCATGCCTTGTCAAACTAAACAGACCTCAGCCAACCCATTTCCCTTGTGTTTTCTTGGCCATTCACTAGGCTAACTTGACGGGCCTTGTCTAGCTCTCCATTTCACATTTGAGTCATATTATTTCTCTTATTGTTTTTTTTCTGTTGTCATCAAAAGTGGGTGGTAGTACATACCTACAATAATACAATTTTTCTACTGACAATTTCATGGTATTTTTATGAATGTTACTATTTATTATTATAATTCATCATTACTTATCTAGTATGGATGAAAACTTTAATTTTTGTGGGATCGAATTCCCTTCTTTAATTAAAAGGTCGAGAATAAATTACTCAATTTAAATTAACTTTAGTTATTAAATTTTTTAAGTAGATATTTGTTTTTTTTTGTGATTTTTTTGTTTTGCAGTCATAATTTTACTAGCCCAAGCGGGCCAAGCCTGCTAATCATTATCTTTCAATTTCAGCATTTGGTGTTCTTTGACACAAAAGCCGGAAAGAGCAGCTGTAGTCATCATTGAGGGAATTTCTATTGAAACCTTCAAAAGTCTTTCAATCGAGCGCAAGAAAGTTAAATTACACTTAGAACGCCTCAGGAATGCACAGAAAACATCACCTGAACATGTGTTCTGTGACCTGTGCTTCAATTGTCATGAGAAAGGACGCAGCTTTGACTGTCGGCCTGACCCTTTCAATCTGCCTACTCATTGCCTCAACTCCTGCATCCGGGCTCTACTGCCGCGCTGTCAAATAAATTTCCAAATTAAGCTAGAGATGGTGGCGCCGTCCAAGTACAAGAAGACGGTTTTACAAGAGCTTTTCCTCATCCGATGTCCGTCGTCGGTTTCAGCAGCTATTAAAAGTGGTATGCCTTGATGGTTGGTTAAATGCTCTTTCACTCATTTGGAGTCAGTGGTGTGTCTTTTATTAAAGTGCTCAATTAAAATTGTTAGCACAATACTTAATACATGTAATCATGTTTGAATTTTTTTACAACACTTCTCTTTAACTTCACTTCTTGTCTGTTTGTTTGTTTGTCTGTCTGCTACAAATCTTGTAATCAATATTTAACACACTTCTACCTGTCCAATTGATCTAAAATGTGGCACACTTGCGTAAAGTTGAAGACAATGCAAGAATCAATTAACAGAATATATAATTTTAAAATTAATAAAAATTTTAATTTGAAAAATTGAAAAAATAATTTTTTCTTCTACAAATCTTATAATCAATATTCAACACACTTCTACCTGTCCAATCACTTCTACCTGTCCAATTTCGCAGGAAGCATGCATAAGCCAGCTACTCTTGTTGAGCTGGAGCCCATTACTGTTCAACGTGAACAGAAGAGCGACGAGAAAAGCTGGTCTGCCCCAGCGGAATCCCAAGAGGGAGCTGAGCCCGACATGTTTCGGGACAATAATGTCGTCCCTGACTATGTGGTCCTCATGAAACATCATGGCATCACCAAAACCGCAGAATGCCTAAAAAAATCTGCTAAATGGCTGAAACGGAGAAAAAATTTATGCACGCCTTTGCCTGATAAGTTTGATAGAAGAAAATTACTCATGACGTGGAAAAACTTTGAGAAAAGGTATTTGCGTCCTGCAGTCCCCTCGAATGATGTTTGTAGTGATGGCTCTTATTCTCGGCCGCCCGTCATTTCTACTAAAGATCAATACGCGCGGGTGAGTCTTGTAATATTCAGTCTTGTCAAATGTTGCTCCATTTATTTGTTAGTATTGAAAAGTAGAAGAATTTCTTCACACATTACTTTTCCACTAAACAAGTTTCCAAAACTTTCAACTACACAACTGTTACAAACTACAAAAATATAACTCAGTACTCACTGCAGAGAGTGACAGAGAGCGCATTTCTCGTCGACGAAAACGTGAAGTCACGGACGGACGGACGGGCATGGCTAGCACAATAGCGCCTTTTTAGCGCATTTTCTCATTTATGGAAAAAAGGCGATATTGTGCTCGTCATGTCCGTCCGTCCGTGACGTTTTCGTCGACGAGAAAATGCGCTCTCTGTCACTCACTGCAGTGAGTACTGAGTTATATTTTTTTCCATAAATAAGAAAATGCGCCAAAAATGGTATGATTATTTTTTAGTTATACCTATAGAAGTGTTAGAATATTATTCTAGAATTTATTCAGCATCTCTCCGCTTCCATCTCTCTTACGCTTCACTCAAGGCTCTGCATTTGTAATCTCATCTTGAAAATTGAAGATTTTTGTAGAACCTGAATAACGCTAATTCACACTCGCGTACATTTCAGGTAACTCCGGATTCGCCAATGTTTGGTCTAGATTGCGAGTTCGTCTACGTACGAAGAGAGGACGGTGAGGTGGTGAACGCCCTGGGAAGTATATGTTTAGTCAATGAATATGGAGCAGAGGTTTACCATACACTGGTCAAGCCCACTGATCCCATTGTCAATTATTGCACTGCTTGGTCTGGTCTTACCGAAGAAAAGTTGAGCTCTGTCATCACAACCCTTGCCGATGTGCAGGAGAAGATAAGAAAACATCTACCGCCTGACGCGATTTTGGTTGGGCATTCTATAGACAACGATCTAAAAGTGATGCATGTAAGTCTCAACGAAGTTGTAAGCCAACCTAACCTGTGCACTGTGTTAATTAGAGATCATTATGGAGTCGCGCTCAGAAACGTTTTCAAGTAACTTTTGCAATTCATAGCTTTGCGAGAATTGAGAGAGATTCGTCCTAGCGCGAGGTTTACTTATGCATGGATGAATTTCATTTGTACCTTACTTAACTTAATCTTAGTCAAATTAATATGAGGAATGCATAATGTAGACCGAGTTTGACTTCAATTTTTATTGTATTCTCCGAAATTTACCTATTTGATGAAGTTGGTATTATCAATAATATAAACGCGCGCAATCAATACTATTCCAAATACTAATGTTTAACTCGTGGTACTGCTCTGGGGCTAGTCATTGTTACAAGTAGGGTATCCGATTGAACCCATTTTATGAACTGTACTTTTTAATCCATCTTATTCTGCTTCGCTGTAACAAATTACCAATTGGGCAGAAAACGATAAAACGTGTTCTCTTGAATGTTTTTATTCCTCTATTTTTCATGCTTATTAGTTTAAGTCAGAAGCCCGTGAACAAGTCTCGCATCTATTGAAGAACGTTTGTATTTCCTGCAGATGTTCCATCCATACATCATTGATACCAGCATCGTATACAACCTCTCCGGGAACCACAAGCCGGCCAAGTTGAAGACACTGGCTAAACAGTTCCTGGACAAAGAGATTCAATCTTCTACGAGACTGGGTCACGATGCTTCCGAGGACGCTGCTGCTTCACTTGAGCTGGTTCAGCTTAAACTTCAACGAGGTGAACATCTTGCATTTAGTTAATTAAATCAATTTTTATGTCTTTTGAAATGTAAATTCGATGCACAATGTAAATGAAAGCCCTGTTCAATTGAAATCATTTTCGGGCACCTGCCTTGTTCGCGTGTCTACCTGTTAGAGCAGGTCTTCCTTTTCAATTGATGGCAGTTTAAAACTAGAAACTTGACTATAGTTAAAAAACTATTATCAAAACTGACATTGACTATATTTAGATGGACCAAATTAAAACTGAATCTCATCAAAATAATTTCTTTTACAATAATATGAGATTTTGACAAACATCTTCCACTATAATATCTATGACCAATTTTAATGCTGATTCCGAGCATACTGTCGAGCTGTTTATTTCTACAGATATCAAGTTTGGTGACGCGAGTTTTGGGTGGTGCGAAGAAATCTTGCCAGAGCACAACTTCTTTTATAACATGTTTGAGGTGAGAACTTTGTTGGTATGTGCACGTCCGCTATGATGAGTACATCACCAAATTATACAAACGAAACGAATTGGAAAACGAACACCTTTTTTAGTTAATCCTCCTGTTATTGCTGTGACCCATTGAATTTTACGTTTTCTGAGTCTTTTCAACTCTTTTTCTCGCAGACGTAGAACTGTAAAATTGCTACCAAAATTTCGTTCGAATTGGTCAAATGTCAGGGATTTTTTTTTAATAAATGACATGCGTTTTACTCTATCTGGAATATTTATTTAGTATTCTCAATTCTTTAGGGGAGTGATGTTTTATTCTAGCATTCTGAATTCTAAAGTTTATATTAGCATTTTCAAGTTTATTTTGTAATCTTCGTGTATGTGAAGCTCCTATAATTTTAAAATGACTTCATAATTTTCTACAGTACCTACACGAGCTGCGTGGTCGCGATTTCGGTTACAAGAACGGCTCCAGCATCATCACTACAAGCAGTCTTGAAAAAAAAGTCCGTCGTGCAATGAAAGGCACTCCGGAATGCTACAACTTCAAAGTTTATGATTCTAACCAGGAGATTTTTGATGCTGTCAACGAGAACAAATCATTATTGCCCAACCGATCTGTGATTCATCTTCAGGTCTGTATGACAATTGATGGTTGAACGATATAAATACATGTTTAATCCACTCAATGATAAGTTCAAAACTATTTATAGAAAATTATTTAATGCTACGTATTTTCGTTATGCTTGCCTAACTAATTAAATTCTACTGTTAAGAAATAATATCCTGAGGTTCTATTGTAGACAAAAAATGCGATAGAACTATATTCCAGATCGTTATTAATTCGAATTTATTTTTGTATATATTATCAATTACTTTCGTAAGTCGATAGGGGCCAATTATTGGAGCTAACTTATATCGTTCTCTGCCCTATTAGTTCTCTTGATGGGGCCGCGAACTGATATATAAACATGGAAAATGAATTACACAGAAATTATGGAATAATTTCACCCGAGGCCTAGACTGAATTCGATCGTAAAGTTGCAAACGAGCTCGCCGTGAAGTCATTCCTCAGGCACCGTATCATGAGAAGTAACATAAACTCCGGTTTTTCTTCACTTCACTTACGACTGTCAGGAAGTTGCCTATAAACCCTAGCGTATGACCTCTCGGTCGTTAGCTCCGTGCCTAACTATAACTTACATAAACCCTTTACTTTTTATTCTTCTCATCGTGTGTTGTTAAGTACTATAAAATTACAAACAGATTTCGAAAGATATTGTTTGCTATAAGATCTGCTTCGCTTGCGAGTCGAAGAATTTTTTCTGCGATTGTTTGTTGTCTGTAAATACGTCTGGCATACCACGTTGCTGAAAAGGGGGTATCAAAATTATCCCAGGTAAATCGCTCTCCAAAAATATCCTAGAAAGTACGATTTATATTAGACATTTCTGAACAATGTCGATTTAAATAATGTATGCCAGGAGCTGTGGCATAACTTACGGTTTTATTTTCTGATTTCAGACTGACCCGCGATTGTCATCAACGAAAGTGCGTGATCGCATCGCAGTCTTTGATGACCTAGACCGTCTGATCCACCTCATCTGGGAAGCTGTAGGAGGCAAGGCTTTCGTGGCCGTTATTTTTGGTGGATCGATGAACAATTCTGAAGAAGCCTTGAGTAATGGCATTTATATGGCTAGTACAAAGCGATTTTTTTATGGGTAACTAAAACATGTATCAATTTTAAATAAAATTGATGAAATAAGTTGTCAATGTTTTTTATTGATGAAAATAATATGGTACATGCTGGAGGAAGAAAGATATTTACAAAAATATTTAAATATGGTTTAAGTACACTAACATGTATCTGTGAAACTGCAACTTTATGATAAGTTTCAGTTGGATTTTTGGGCATTGTCAACACTTCAACAGTGTGGTAATGGGAAGATATGGTAACAGTATCACGCCGATTGTTTAACAATACATATAAAAATATTATGGTATAGAACGCGATTATGAAGTATAGCATTGAAAATGTTGAATATTGCTATTAGCTCAGTATTGCTAGATTTCAATCTGTCTATTAATCGTCACGAAGATATTTCATTGAATAACAACCTATAAAATAGTTCATAATAGACTATGACTAGTAAACAAGAAGTATAATGCAAGTATTCACAATAGGAATGTAAACTTTTTACATCCGTTCAACATAAGCAATTGCCGGCCATCAATCCAATGCTGCGACTTCAAATTAGAATATCGTGCTGGAGGGAGCAAAATTTTAAGCTTTGAAATTAATACCCAAAGAGTTACCACAGTCAGATAACAATTGGTATACTTGTATAAGTTAAATTCAAACGCTTCTGCGTCGTCACCTTGGATAACAACGCTCTCATTTAAGTTGATTTTTCCGACTATAGAAAAGTTATCCTGCCTGACATACTTAGTTACATAATATTCGTCAATAAAAATTTCTAACTTTTTCATTTCTCGCCGTTTCAAATCTTGTTGCTGACATAAGCACTTAAAGAATCGTAATCGTTCATAATTTATACGATAAAGTTTTAATTGACGTATTATACCAGCATAAATGTGACGATTATTTACATCATGAAAACCGATTATGAACACGTACAAGTCATCGGCGGAGTGTCATGCAAGCATTGTTAACATTTTTACCGAAGCAATAGTTCGCGCAGTTTAACTTCAGGTAGCTAAAAAAGTAGAACTGATTATAGGCCTAAAATATTGTACATTTGTGCATGATACTTTCATCCACATTTTGCTTATTGAATTCTAGCTCATTTCGTTCCACGATGCCAATAATAATTTTCGTTTTTTTTTTAATTGAACTGTAAGAAAATTATTTACGTCGACACCTAACATGAATCTTTGAAAATTCAATTTCAAAGAACAGTACAGGTATCTTTATAGGAGCCTTAAGAATTGACGTCAGCAACAGCGACGTAATAAAGGAAGTTATTGCCACAAGTCATGGATGCCTCAATTTCAACTTCGCGATATCGGTAAAGTTCAAAAAATGAACGATGGTCACATATAGACAAAGACAATGGATCTAATCTAAAAACATACATGAGGTAGCAAAAGTTATTTGGTCCAGAGGTCAAATACACTTTGAACTAATATATAGACTAATAATCTACAAATTGACTCATGACATCATCCAAGCAAGGAACTATGCAAGTAAACTTGACGTAGAATGAGTCAATTGGATCGAAGCCGGATACTCGAGAATAATGAAAATGACGCCACTAATTGTCAGCGATCCATTTGGAAGATAAAATTAAGATATCAGCCATAAAAAAAAATGTGGGCAAATCCACCAAAATTTACGACTACTTTAGGCTTGAGCACTAAATAATGTTAAAAGGCATGTAAAATCTGCCAAGTAACCTTTTTTATACTTAACATAAGAACATTTCCCTTCGTTTGAGTATAAATTAGATAATAAAAATGCCAGTAATCCTGAAGCGAGACCCACGTCGTATCATTAGAGTTCTCTCTCCGTGCAACAGACGCGAAGATCAACACGATTTTTTTCGAAAAGGACGTCGAGAAGCGCACTCCTCTTCATACCTGGAAGATTAGAGGAATTATTAATCCTACCCACGATTCCACATGCATGAAGTTGAAAATTTTACTTATATCTTCAGTCGATGAAACCCAAGTTGATATTTATCATAAAGGAAGAATTGCCGTGTTATTTTTAATTTATTAAATTTCAATCAGCTGAGAAAGAAAAAGTAATACAAAGGAATTAAATGGTTTTGACACGTGCAGTGCAGCCATTGATTTTCCAATGCGAAAATGGACATTAAAATACCAACAACTCGGACGAAAATGATTGACATAATAAACTGAGCGAGGATTATCAAATTGACGCATAAATCGATAAGCGAAGAAAATCGTCATTGCCGATACAAGCTGCCGCCTAAACGCGTTTGCGGGTTGAGTGCTTACTAACGTCGGCTACGCACAAACGAACGCTCGGCGGGCCACACACGTTGGCTAGATTGAGACATCAAAGTCAAGCCAAGACCTCGCTACAGCGAACAAACCTGAGCTCTGTGTTCTCCACCTAACCTCCCCGACCCCGTGCCCACCCAGCCATGCTTTGCGCCCGCCTCGCCTCTGTATCACATGCCCAGCGGACCCCAAGCCCAGTGCTCTTCTCTCATTTCTTAACCCGCTTTTCACAGGCTGAAATGGTGACAAAGAGCGCGTCAAGCTAGTTTTATCGACTGAGCGCGCGTTCCAAGCTAGGATCAAACTTAAACCACATTCAAACTAGGGAGAAAGTTTGCGTGCCTGTAGATTATTGCAGCGTGTCAGTTTAAAAATTGCAAATTGCAGTAATATGCATATTTCTTGAATAACCCTATACATGGAAGGTAAGGCGTACTCGTTCCCTATCGAGTAAAATATATTTAAGTTTGAGTAGGACTTAAGAGTAGTAGAATTCGGCAGAGCATTCATATCCCAAAGCTGCGAGCGGGTATCTAGACGCGTTCCATCTGTCGCAGATTTTCAGCTTGCTTGTCTTTGTTCTTTCTCTTTGTGAAGCCACACATGGGTTCGATTTATGCGCAAAACACTGAAAATATACATCACACATCTTAACATATGTAACAAACTAAAGAAAGACAGGAACCATAATAAATAATAAGGAGCTTATTCAACAATAAAGATCCTAATACAGATTTTAATCGACCCACCTTAATGTATAACTGACAGGTTGCTGGTTCAACGTGCACTCCTGTTTCCGCTGTTACTGCTGTTGTCACTACTGGCACTCGTGTAGCTAGAAATAACTTCACTAGATTGGTCACTGTTATTAAATCTATCATTGGAATCAGAGTCATACCTATCACTGCCGTTCGAGTTCAACACACGACTGGTTCCAGTGAAAATTCCACTCGCGTCACTATTTTGGTTTAAATTGACACTTTTCGAGCTTCTATGATTATATTTTTTGCTGTTTTCTGTGTGATTTTTATCACCCTTATTTACATTTTGGTGGAGTGTAGCAGAGCTTGCATTATTACTACCATTACTACTTTTTCTGCGACCATAATTACTATTACTGCTCCTACCACTGCCGCAAGAAGACACGCTGCTGCCTGAAAAGACAAAAAAGTAGCAATTACTTTACTTGTTAAGTGTGAAGGAGAAAGGAGCTAGCAGCACCATTTATTGGGCGATCAAACTGTTTTCGTCATGCATTTAAGTTAACGACAGATCTTCTAAAACCAATTTATATATAAAAATGTATATATTTATGTATAAAAAAAACTTTTATTAGCGGAACTCACTTGTTAAAGGAGTGTGCAGCTCAACCTTAACTTTGGCGGTTGCGGTTACTTTAGTGGTTACATGACTGATGTTACTTGCATCACCGCAATTATTTTCAGTCCCGCAGGTACTCGTCCTAGTGCCGCTTCCATTTCCGTAGGTAGTTGTCTCCACGACAACTTGCGGTTCCACCACTATCTCATGAGCGGAGATGCCTGAGTACGAAGACTGGCATGAGTTGGTCGAGTGAGAGGACGGAGGTTCTTCAGTGATGGTTGAAAGTGATAAGTTTGAGCCCCCGTGATGATTGTGACTACTACTATTATTGTGATGATGTCGAAGATAGTTACTGGAATTTTTCACATTCTCCGGGGCTGCACCGGTAAATTCAGTACGGCTGGGCCGCCTCGAATTTCGTCCAACGTCCGTAGAAAACTTGGCAGAAGAACCGTTGGTGGCTGATGCTTGGTTGAAACGAACGACAGGTTGCAGTTGAAGGACATTTTGGGACTGGTGGTGAGGTTGTGGTTGAGGTGAAGGTGGTGGTGTAGGGGTGGGTAGACGATCAGGATGAGCGTGTGATATGATCTCAGCAGGAGGGCCGATCATGGACAAAATGATTGGCAAGAAAAACAGACTATCGATGACACCCAGCATCACCAGCCCCGCGATCACGTAGAAGAAACACCTGAAAAGTATACAATTAAATATGATATTCTTAATTAAAAATCCACAATTCTACTCAGTTTAAATTTGATCGAGTTTCTCAAAGATGAAAGTTCAAAATATGTTCGCTCACGAACGTGGCTTTCGGATAAGAAACGTCGGTCAACATGAGCAAGAGTTAGGCAGAAATCATGGCCGAGTTCCAGCATAAGAAGTTCTCATATGAGATGCCTTTGTGTTCCGAAAATGAGTTACCCCTCCATTAAACAAATGCACAACGATAAGTTAAGACGAAATACAACAAAAGATACGAAACGACGATAATTGTCGGAATGCGTACACAGGTTCTAAACCGCCTAGCCAATTAAGGTTCCGCTGCTGCAAGTGAAAGGTAGCTAGGTAGCTCAGCACCAGCTTCTCAAATACACGCTTACGTTGTGGAACAGGTACTTGAACTCTCCAAAGATTATTCATTAATGAGTTATTAATATAATAATCGTTGGGTGTAGAGATTGTCGCTATAAATCGTGATGATTAATTGTAGATAGGTTCAAAGCACTATTCATTAATTAAAAACGGTGGTACATGAAATCCCTGTAACGCACACTAAAACTGAAATGTAAATCAACGTCAATTAAATTTGTATTATTCGTTGTTAAATTATCCAAGACTCGGAGCTTGCAAAATAATTCTCATGAATTCCCTATGTCGGTGTTGGGCAGATAACGAGAAACGCATTCCTCGCGTTTGTGAGTGACCATAGCGAGCGAGAGCGACCAAGCAAGTTGACACGCGTCTTATCTCAAGCGCTATCACATCCTTTTACAAGTGCTCGCATTCCACGCCCACGCCCATGACACAAATGTCCCCCCAGCCACAACACCGACAACTTGTCCCTTCACAGGTTCGGTTGAGCCACGCAATATTACACGTCAGGGTTACAATTTGGGCATGAAGCAGAGTAATTTTTATGAGTATAAGACGATACGACTTGTGATAAATCACCTCGACATTAGAAAAACTATATACTCAAGGAAGCAGAATTCAATTTTTTCAAAATAATCAAATTAGATGACACAATCTATCTTAATTTCAATAGCATTCAACCAAATAACAAATTTACGGAATCACAAGACAGCAATGAGCATTAATGTTATTTGGATCCTAGGCTTGGCGACGAAGTTGTAAATGATTTTTTTTTTCGTTCTATAGGAATCAACTTTTTCTTTACCAGCTGGATGAATAATTTAGTCTAAATAAGCTCTAATAATATCGAATTTTAACTTTTAGTAACATCAAAATTCACAACTCCGCTCACCTTCTGATGAAATCAAACTCTGAAAAGAGCAGCATGAGGGCAGCTAGAAGCGTGGATGCAGCGCCATGGATCACCGGAGGAGCCATATGACAAAGAGCAACGCCAACCCTGCGACGGCGGTTGCCCACTGCCGTGAGGTATCCCAAGACAACGGGCGCCACGTATTGCATGCCCACCCCTACGGCGGCGACGAGCATCACGGCCGGGGCGGCGCTCAAGTGAACCCCGACTATGCCCATCATTCCGGCCATTTGCAAGACGAGCAATGATAGAACGAGGACGATGATAGCGGCAGCCCAGGCGTTCAGTAGAAATACGGAGACTATCATAAAAACTCCAACTACCACCGATATCAGTGATAGAACCAAGAAAAACCTGCGCAAAAAAATTTTCTTTCATAGCGCGTAATATCTATAGTCTAAGAAAATTCAATCAAGCGAACTTGGCGATATTTTTTGTTTTTTGGTATTTTGGTTTATGCATTAAATGGGATAAAAAAATTAGGGATGTAAATAAATAACGTGAAGCTGCGAAAGCAATTCTTTCGTTGATTTGTAAGAACTTCAACAAAATACGAAAGCACGCAAATACGTTGGATTACATTACATTATGAAATAATCATGAGCTTGACTCCTGGTATTCTGTCAAATTGTTACGAACCTTAAATGTATGTATTGCTCCCAATAAGTGAAGGGAACTCCTTTCGGGAAGTTAGGAAGTCCTTTCTCGTTGAATTTGTCGCAAATGTGGCGAACTTGCGAGATCATGTCTGTTACACTCTCGGTGGTGTTCAGGTGACGAACGAAAAACGACATTTGGGCGAACACCAGAGGTGAACTTTTCGGTATCTGAGGAGTAGTACAAAACACGTGTTATGGACACAAAATTAAAATGGTTCAATAATTACTAGTTGATAATATGCAAGGGAAATGTCTAAAATACGTAACATGAAATCGACTCCCAAATCCGTCGAGTAATTACAAAAAGGTCTGACATTTACATGTAGTAATTTCACAGCTAGTCTATCACAATTACACCTGTAATAAAAAAAGATGTGAATTTCATGTTCACATCTTTTGTTGATAGGTGTCCAACGAACACAATATTCCTAATATTGAAATGCCAAAAAATCTATGTTAAAATTTATCACCAGGCACATAGAAATTAATTTATTTTAATAAAATCCGAGAGCCAGAGATAGATTTAAAATTGTAATTCCTGTCATTGACATTGATTCGAATTTGTAACACTAGGTAGTAAGCGATTGATTTGAATTGCAATATCGATAGTGTGAGATTTATTTGAATTTGTACAATCCGGCAGTCCCGAGTGAATTTCAACGAATAATAACCGACAGCGAGGTACGGGTAGAGATAAGTTATACCCAGCAGCGAATTAGGTTGAGAATTGAGATACGCTATACCCAGCATTGAGGGATGGGTTGAGATAACAATGACTCACCTTGAGGTCATGGTCGTTGTATCGGTCATGGTACCAGCGTCGCGGCTCAGGTTTGAGGTCGGCCTGTGAGGCCCCGTAGGCCATGGCATCGTTGGTGACCCATGCGCTGAGGTAATTGTAGAATGCGTCTGGATTTATGATGCCGTCAGCATTCACCAGGCGAGTCTGTATAATTTCATAAGAAAGGCTTTTTAAATATAGAAAGAAATCATCTTCATGCAAACTTTTCAAAACAAGATAGTTGAAGAATTAAATAATAATTTGAGCTGTTTCATGTACACAAGTAAAAATACCAAACAATGAGTGGAATGAGACAGGAACGCAGCGTAAACTGATGGGCAATTTTCGAGAAGCATGTGTTGCGTGAACGTAATGAGAAATATTGTCTAAGTAAAGGAAACGACTTATTTGTATAAATGGAAGTGAATTCAAGAGACTATTAGTCCTCACGTTTCCTGTAACGAAACCAACGTACCTGAACCACAAGAGATCTGTCGACAGGATGATCGACATGGCCGGTTTGCACGAGGAGCTTGTAGGCCATCACGGCGTCATCGGAGGCATTCGAGTGCCAACGTTCAGCGTTTATGCATCCATTTTTCCAGTCTTTGTCGAAAGCTTTTTGTAAACCCAAAAGCCAGTCTCTGAAACTAGCCAACCAAGAATCCGGCAAACCTCCGTCGTCATCTTTAAGGATGTATGGAACCCGGGTGAAGGCTGCGTGGTAGTCATGGAGAAGTTTCTGGTGCCTGGGATACTCAAAATGCCCTTTGGTGACAACGAACATGTGATAAATGCTGAAGTGTTTTTGCTGGGCCTCTAAAAACGTTGATTCTGGCGAGTCCCTTGGTACCAGGGCTGTGAGATCCAGACCATCGCGTAAACGGCTTACGCCCCACGCCGACGCGGCTATCGAAATAATCAAGAAAAAGAACCCCACCGCGCGACACTTTTCACTGCTCACGCAAGAAACGTACCCGTTCCAAGTCCTATTTAAAAAGTTCACAATAAAGCTACGCAGTCCTAATTTACCGCCAAATAACGAGTACGTAGACTCCAGAGAGTCGACTGACGGCGAAAGTACGAGGTTCGAATTACGCTCCGGCCAGTCTTGGGTCTGGGAAGAGTTGGATTTCAGCGAATTGGTATCTTGAGCGGTGGCAGGAGCGGGTTTTTCATGCTCAGCTGTAACGTTTCGGGGGATATTAGTGGAATGTTGTGGCAAACAACACATAGTATCAGCCGATCGCGTTGGAGCCCTTGCCAAAACGTCATTAGAGTTGTCGAGGGGATCAGGAAAACAACAAAAAACGTCAGCTTGTTTGGCCGTTCGCCTGCGAAGATCCAGGGACAAAAATGCAGGGAAGACAAGTAGTGCTGCGACAACGTTAACGAGGAGCAATATAGTCGCCTGGAAACACATCGAACGAAGAGCGGGCACCGGAATAATGGCTGCGCAAGCAAAGCTCAGCGCTGTGCATAACGAAGACATCAAGATGGATACACCACAGCGCTTCACGATTGAGCCAACTTGTTTCTGTATTGAGTAAAGAGAAGAGAATTGTTTTAATTTTCCTATGAAAAATTTGTAGCGAAATAGATTACCGGAAACTAAATAAAATATTCGCGACACAAACATCATGATTACAGGTAATGCATTTTTTCGAATTAAACATTCATCATATGAAGATAGTCATCACATGCTCACCGTTCTTTCTGAGTCAACAAGCACGAGTCCAAGAGTTGCGGCTTCCGACAAGGCCTCAGAAGTCGTGTGTAACATTAGGAAGATGTTGTCAACACTCAAACCGAGTGCAAGGAACGGTAGCACCTGCCAAATTACGTACAAAATTCAAAATTAATATCTTACGAGGATTTTAATCACGACTACTTATGATCAAGCGCGTTGAGAAGTAACGGCAACTCAAGTCATAAAGGCTAAAGCATCGATGTTTCACATTAAGTTGGATTCAATTAGGAAGCGCACCGAATGAATGCCGGCAGAGTCTTCTTGTCTTCGCGAATTATAATCAAGGGATAAATCATTAGGTTGAAGGCAGGGTTGGCAATGATTAAATCAAAATGATTAAATCAAGTGATTAAATCACTTGATTTTTTTATAAAAAAATCATGATTTTTTCGATTTTTTTGATTTTTTTGATTTTTTCATATATTTAAAAATATTGAGTAGCAGTCTTTACTTTATATTGAGGTATTGTTATTCATGGTTTAGTATAAATGTACTATGAATGACAAATTGGTATATAAACTTGTTGCCTTTAGTGTGTATTAGGTTCCAATAAATGGAATTTTTTTGGTAGTACAGAGGCATCAAGAGTGCAATACATTGTACCGGTATGTAGCTAGCAGCTTAGCTAATTCTTATAAGGCTATAAGTAGTCTTAACTATTTGACTATTTGTTATATATTGATTACAATATACAATTTAAATGTGTTAGCTAGCTTATACAGGGTGGGGCAGAACTGATTAAACAGTTTTGAGGCAAAATAAAGGAGTAATGGAGGTACATAAAGAAGAAAGTTTATTTTCCTCATGATTAGCATAACATACCATTTAAAATACTTATGTTTTGAAAACAAATTAAACAATATCAGGAAGATGGGGTTTGTTAGCTGCATCACACTGTTGGAGTTGTTCTCGGAAGTTTCCTACAGCATGTTCACACATATGGCTAGGTATGGCCATAACCTCTGCTGCAATAATCTGTTCCCTTAGCTGTGGTAGGGTGTGAGGGCGACTTCTGAACCCCTTTCTTTTAGAATGGGCTGCAAGAAATTTTGCAACATTGCAGCATAGCAATCGGAATTCACTGTCATGGTTACTCCCTCCTCTGAGAATGACTCCAACAGTGTGTTGCAGCTAACAGCCCCCATCTTCCAGATATTGTTTTCAAAACATAAGTATTCTAAATGGTATGTTATGCTAACCTCTAAGAAAATAAACTTTCTTATATATGTACCTCCATTACTCTTTTATTTTACCTCAAAACTGCTCAATCGGTTCTGCTCCACCCTGTATATTGAGAGGTTGAGATTGTATTGACCTTTTAGGCAATTAGAAAGATTTTCCACCCTAATATGAGTACGGTATTCTAATTAAAATATTTAATTTCAATCTTTAAATATGTGAATTTAAAACTAGAAACAAAACAATTACAATTATAAGACTACATATAAAATAATTAAATGCAGTGAATGGATATAAAATATTTGAATTGTGCACATGTTTATTTCAAACAGTGTATAGCTTTTCTCATAACTTGAGTCTCGTTTCAAGTCGTATGAGGTTTGTTTGGTTATCGTTCAGTTTATGTTTACTTGGTTTAGTATTGGTTTATTGGTCTGAATTAAATGGGAACAGTGCAATCAGTCACTCAGTCACTACTAGTTGGTATGTATAGAAGGTAGAGTCTGGTAGATTTATAGGACATAAAACTGGTAGATCTATTGATGGTGCTGTGCACTGTGCAATCAGCTACCTATCTGTTATGTGACTCTTCAATGTTTAGGAGATCTGCATTCCTGAAGTGTTTTTTGTATATTGAAGCCAGTTAAATGGTCAATATTTAGCTCATTACCTTGCTCCATACAAACTTCACAAAGCTAATGAATAGACTTATCAATAATTGTTTACCCGAAAATCCCTAAGTGGTAAACACCACCTTGGCCTGTTGGCCATTATTGGAGGCAATAAGCGCCCTTTTTAGCCATCCATTATGATCCATAGTATACTGTTATTGTTAGTAGGCTAATTGCAACATAAAAAATAACACCTCAAAAAAGACAAAAAAGGTGAAAAAATCAAAAATATCAAATAAATCAAAAAAATCATGAAAAAATCATTGATTTTTGATTTTTTTGATTTTTTTAAAAAAATCAAAAAAATCGCCAACCCTGGTTGAAGGATTTATGATCAATGCTATGACATGGGTTCACAACAACGAACATTAGTAGAAAAAAAAAACAGAAATTGATATTTTTTTAACCCTCTTTAGTCTGTTGACAGTGAAGTGTTAACTAGCTAGTGTAGTAAACACAATATTAGGCTAACGTATCAACAAACAATTGTACCTATATCAAATATATAATGAGCATTTAGTAATTACCTGCGTGGATGCAGCACTAAAAGGGAGGCCCAGTAGCGCACAGAAGCCCATGCCAGCAGCGACAGAGAAGGCAACCAGCAGCACTGCCGCAACGCCCAAGCCAGCCTGCGAGTTGCTGAAGTCCCACGGACGGCAGAGAACCAGCACCGTATACCCCAACTGAACCAACAATTACGGCACGTTTCAAGTATGAATCGATTGAATAAGCTAATTAGTACATAGAAACATAGCAGCCTATACGGTGTTTGACAAACAACGCATACTCAATTGAGCGAACAATAAGGGCACGTATTCAGAATTAGTCCATTGAATGAGCTCTCGGTCACATCGAAAAATAGCAGCCTCCATTGTGATTGACAAGCGCCGTATACGCCAACCAAGCAACAAGAAAGCGTTTTCAGTAGTAATGAGCTCTATTGACTAAGCTTGCAATTCCATCGAAACCTAGCAGCCTGCATGGAGATTAACAACCAACGTGAAGCCCCGCTGATGTGTAAACGAGGTGCAGACTCAATTAGAGTAAAGCTTCTAAATATATTGGATCAGAGCATCGTGCATTGACAGGAAGTGCTTGATTTTGTATCATTTGGCCTCATATAATCAAGTAAAAATAAACTTCTGACTCACAGGAACCATTACTGTGAATATGTGAACGGTAGAAGAATCATCCTGGATCCCGACACCAAAAGAAGAGTTTTATAACAATGCTTAATCATTTTACCACATTTAAGCAAGAATATTGAAGGAAAAACGAGCTAAATCGAGTAAAAAAAATACTCGTATGTATTTTTTGTGTGGATCCAAAAATCATCAAAATGAATGCTCTGGATAGATTTTATCTATGAAAAATACTCGTACCAATGATAATTGTTAATATTAAAGATAGATCTTGAAGCCCTGTCCTTCAGTAGGTTAGGAATAAATCAAGTAGAAGTTAAATCTAAGCTCACCATGATGCCGTAGCCAACGACCACCTTCAGCACAGAAAGTTCCGAGAAGTTCTTGATGAGGGAGCCCAGCGACGCGTCTGAGAACGGCAGGAACTGGTAGGAGGGTGTCTCTTCCAGCCGAGCCGCAGATTCTGATTCAACTTTCTGTTGTGAGAAAGAAAATCCATGCAAGTGCATACTTATATACGTGAAGGTGGTGATTATTATGAAGAAGTAATAGCTATTAATCTTCCCATTTGATTCATGTGGCATAAATTGATATGTTACACCAATATATATTGACGTTTGGTGCATCCCAGTTAAAAATTTATTAAACAAACGATGTATTTTAAATAAAATATACGAGAAAAATTGCTACGTTAGTCATTTCTAAATAAATACTGCATCATTGAGCTACAAAGGAAAAAAATGCTGACCACAAAAAGAAAACCCGAGCGCCTACACACGACGTCAGTTGCACAAAACCTTGCAACCGCGAGAAGCTCTAATGAAGTGAAGGCGATACAAGCGCTCATAATTACAATGTCAACAGCCTATGATGAAAGGACTAACGCATGGATGGCCGACAGGGCTAAATAAGGAGAGAAGCTGACTCGCTCTAATTAATGTGACCAGGTAAGCCAAGCAAGGAATCGGTGGCTTTATATGGAGAGGTTCGCAAGGTGCGAACCACGGCACTCTGACAACTTAACTGCACGCTCTCGACAATTCCTGGCTACCAACTTCTTCTAATCTTTAAACGCTGCAGCTTTAGCGCGCAACGCGCAAGTGCTGATAATAAATAATCTAGGGTTGATCAAGCTAAAAGCAAAATAAATTGAAAATTCTAAATATTTCATAGTGAATCCTGGCAAATTACAACACTTCTCTTTAACTCGCTTCTTGTTGTTTGTAATTGTCTGTCTGCTACAAATCTTATAATCGATATTTAACACACTTCTACCTGTCCAATCGATCTGAAACTTTGCACACTTGCGTAAAGTCGACGACAATGCATGAATCGATTGACAGAATAAATACTTTTGGAAATTAAAAATAATTATTAAAAATTTAGAATTAATTTTTATTTAATATTTGAACATGAAATTAAAAATTTGTTGTACATGTGTGACATTGCAGACACTGGATTCTTTAGAAGTGTTGTCTTTAAAAAGTAATTTTTAAATGTATATTTTTATGCTTGGTTTATTAGTATGGTTGCAAATCAGTAAACATGTTAATTAATCGTTCGTAAGAGTTAGGTAAGACAAGGTTCAAGTCCCGCGGGATGTACCGTTGCGTAGAATAAATATTGGCAGGCAAAAACTACTTAGGCAAATACCGAAAGGGAGAAACTCTACTTGGAGGTTTAAAATATCAATATTTGTTCCCGTGATGACTAATTCACACGAAAGCAGGAAATACGTCAAGCAGGAGATAAGATGTTGAGGCGAAAAGGGAAATCCTGATGTACGGCAAGTAAGAACCGAACCTAATTTTCGAAAACAAATTCATACGGTTCTTCAAAGATAAGCATGACAAAGACGCACTAAAGATGTCGTAACAAAGAAGACTGCTCAATTAAGGAGACGGCTAAGTTGCAGAAAGGCGGCTAGGTTGCAGAAAGGCGACAATGGTGGTCCGACCATTAGGTGTGTACCAATATGGTTGCTCGCCACAACGGAAATGGTAAAGGCGAGTCGCACCTGCCCCAAGTCATGGTGGCATCAAGCATAACTGTTGATTACAAGAACTTGCATTTTGATTCTTACTCTAATTATTATTCTACTATCATAGCTGACGATAGAATTACGATCATTGAATAATTTAAGATAGTTGGGAAAGTTACGATCACCTCTGGACTATGGGTCATTGTACTGCTAACGATCATTGTCTAGTAATAAATTTGTGACTAACGATGTTCGTGGACCTAACGCCCCTTGTGGTCGTGATGGTCATCGTTTACCAAGCGTTCATGGTCCCACTAAAATAGGCACACCAGCCCCCCGATCCATAAGTAATGAATGTTTCAGGTTGCGTGTCGACACTTCAAGAGGACGATCGCCAAAAACGGCCAACGCGATGACGTGGCGGCGAGAACAATTGGCTAGGTGGGTGGTGATCGCAGCGCAAGTAACACGCGCATAGCCGCACTTGGGCACATCATACATAAGCTCCGTCAGCGATTTGTGTTTTTCAACCACTGCATATAAGCATATAAGTGATAAATATAATGGCTTTACTGAACTTGAATTGTTTGACAGACATTTAAAGCGTCTAGTGGTACGGTGAGCGATTGTAAGAACCAATCAATAAATAACGATAGTCGATTGCAGGTCGGCATGGTAATTGACATCAAGTACATTTAACATTGCTCAATTTCAGTATTAATGCATTAAAAACTATTGGCAGTCATATCTATAAAATAGATGCAACACGGCTAACAACGCTGGCACTTTTCAGACAAAAGTACCATTAGCAGCCACATTAAATAAATAAATATAAAAAAAAATATTAAAAAAACACGTTTTCTGGTTTTTGCAAAACTAAAAATAATGAAATAAAACAAATAAAAAACTGTTAAAAAACACGTTTTTTTAACGGACAAAAAAGAAAAACATTTACTCTTACATAACATTTTACATAACTTAAATTTTATGTAAGAGTACGTAAACGTTTTTCTTTTTTGTCCGTTTTCTTGGGGTTTTTGAAGTTTTTTTCATTTGTTTTATTTCATTATTTTTAGTTTTGAGAAAAAAAAACAAAAAACGTGTTTTTTAAAATATTTTTTGTATTTATTTATTTGTGCTTTTCAGTAAATAGAGGAGCTGAACCTCAACAATTGAATATAAAGGCGATATCTGAAATCCACCTTCTGACCCGGAAATACTGAACTCTGGCAACGATTGAATAAGAAAATTAGCAATTAATAAATTGAGGAAAGCACGACATAATGAAGAATAGAATTATTCGAGTTAAATTTGTTGCCAAATAATGAACTCTGCATCCGCAAAAATAAGTACTGCAAAAATTTTATTCTGAAATTTTCAAAAATATGCCAAATTTGACATTTATAGCGGCGGTATCAACAATACCAAGGAGTACATAGCTCGAGTTTCAGAACAGTTCGAAAATTGACCGTGAAAATCTTGAATGCGAATTGAAGATCTAATTAAAAACATGGAAAGCCGAAAACCAACAAGTCAGGTTCTTCGAAACCTTGGACGTGCCCAGAGGAATTGGAGGCTTGGAACCGCATGTTGTGAAGAACCTTCCATGGCGACCTACGACGATAGTTGCGGCACAGAGGCAAGCAGCACCAGCAGTACGAATGATTGCTGCGAGTGCATGAAACAAAGTTGCTGCCAAACTGAAGATTCCTACTAAGAAAGCACTTCTTCTTCGTCTTGTTCCAGTTCTCCAGATGATGAAAGCGAAATGACTCGGTCTTCTAACGTGTGCAGTGCTGCCTCTGTAAAAAGGAGATCTGAGACTAAGTCTTCAAGGAGCAGCTGCAAGAATCGAAGCTTGAAGTGTATTAGTTCAATTGAGGATGAATCAGACGGTTGCTTAGCCTCCAGCGAAAGCTCAGTTTGTGCAAGGTACCGTTGCTCTTCTAGGAAGCCTACCTCGGAAAAGTACGAAATTTGCTCAACCAAATCTGAAAAGAAACGTTTCTACTAATGCGTATGAAGTCTGTTTCTATTACATTATTAATGTTAATGGTATGATCCCGAAACTCGTTTAGGCTCACTCGTCTTGGAATGCGTCTCGAAATGCACCGGGAAAAAACGAAATATATCCCGGAAAAAAACGAGACATAGGTTAAATAAAAACAAATAAAAAACTTTTAAAAACCACGTTTCCTTAACGGACAAAAAGAAAAAACATTTACTCTTACATAACATTTAAGTTACGTAAAATGTTATGTAATGTTATGTAAGAATAAATGTTTTTCTTTTTTGTCCGTTAAGAAAACGTGGTTTTAAAAAGTTTTTTTATTTGTTTTTATTTCACTATTTTTAGTTTTGTAAAAACCAGAAAACCGTGGTTTTTAAAATATTTTTATATTTATTTATTTTCTACTTTTTAGTTAGCAATTTTAGCAATTCAAATCAATTTCCAGGGTTGACAAGTATGGATGTTCGAGAAAAAACTCAATTCCAAACCGTGAATTTTTAGTGTTTTTTTATTTTTTTATTAAAAAAAATGTTTAATTATTATTTCTGATGATCAAATCTTGAATTGTTAGGCAGCATAAGCATGCATGCCAAATTTTAAGTTTCTAGGATCTTCAGAAGTGCTCTAAATTAAGATTTGAATTTTGATGACAGACAGACACGAAACGAAGTCAAGAAAAACGTGGTAATAAAAAAATTAGAAAGAACAACATTACGAGTATTATTGAATAATGCATTCGCGAAAAACCGAACCAATATTATAACTTGAGCCAACGGAGAGTAAAGGTGACGATTTTTTCAAGGATATAAATATTTTAACATTAACTCTGAAATTGAATATCAGTTTCGGCTAAAAAATCTCAATATCTGTTAAAAAAATATCAACATCGGTTTATAAGAATACTTCAAGTTATTAGAGTTTTCGAGTTGCACGTTCGCGGCATTGGAAGACCACACGACTCGACGTTGGTGCAACAGCGAGGCACATGCAGCATGATGATACTGATACACTCGCTATGTGAGGTCTACATCGTGGGCCCAGAGATGATCAACGCTTCCCAAAATATTTCACCTTAATAATACCCAATTCAATCTGCAATCATAATCAGGCTGCATATTAATTATTAAATATTTAAAAAATGGATAAATATACTCGTATTTCTTACTGCGTTACTTACTTTTATTCCCCTCAATTTTCCTCGTATTAATTTATGAATTTTCTCAAAAGGAAAATTACCGTGTTGGCAGCAAGGATTCAGATGTTGACCACAAACCATATTTTCGAACCTAATTCAGTTATCAAGCTGACAGTCAATGCAACATGATGAAATCTTTTACAGGTGTTCATGATGAATGAAAAGATGCCAATTATTTAAGTCATCAATATGACAACATCTGATCTATAAAAAATACTTTTTACTTTTTTAGAGAGTACATAAATAGCATGCACGCCTCAGTGCGCCGTTATCTTCTAAAAACCTTTCATTACAGTGGCTTCTCGAAAATAGTTAGGATCTAAATGAGCTATAATTGGAATTTATCACTAACCATCATGAATTTATGCATCCAGGCGTTGAGAATAAGTTCAGCTTTTTCCTGATTCCAGTCGATATTGTGAACTTTCCAGTCGTCGTTCCAATATTCGTAGAGGTTCTTACTCCCCATGAGCTGAACGATGCTCTGAAGAGCCTCGCCTCTACACAAGAACAAAGTTCGTTAAGTAATATGTGTTATTAAATTAAGTTCGTGGAAAAAATATGATTTGCATGAATGCCTTATGATAAGAAATAGTATTATAAACGAATAAAGAAAACAATTTTCCAATTCCATTATCAAGTTAAAACCGGTTCACAATGTTAGAAGCACTTCGCAATTTCCACTCTCTGAATTTCAATTCAATTTTAATATCAGCACCTGAAGATACCCGCTCTCATGGATAAGAGAAGCAGATTGGCCGTCCTCACCTGACGATGTGTCCCGTCTTGTTCTTGGAGATGGCCCCGACGATCAGATGTTCGGGCCAGTGCATGTACCGACCCGCAAAACCATAGCAGCCACCCGTGACATGGGCTCCAACGTCCACAGGTTCGCTGGAACCCTTGTTGGGGGCGGTCATGGGGCAGTCAGGGTCTAGAGGGTCCAAGCAAGGTTTCTCCTGGTACCCTGTTGTGATTCCCGCCTGAAACAAAAATTTAATTCCAACTCAATTATACGTAGAATTAGGAAATTAATAATAATTAAAATTAAATTTTAAATTTGGCGTTTAATATGAAATGAAAGCATATATTATAAAATTATTCAGCGTACTTATGAGACGTTTCAAGGAAAAGATCGATCATCAGTTCTGTAAAATTAAATCTTGAATAACTTAGTTGCTACCCCAAAATTTGAAAGACTATTTAATATAACACAAATGGAGGAAACAGTCGCTATATTGAAACAGTCGATGACGAAAATACGCACAAATTGATCAACCATCTTGATGCTGAGTACAACGTGAAAAGTAACGATTTGACAAAACGATTTGGTAAGAATTATTCTAAGTAAAACATTATTCATCACATAACAGTACGAGTTATTGGCAATATTAGCATATTGTTTCTTTTTAGCAAATCAATTAAGCTATCCTTCCAAAACCAATTATTCTATCTCAACTCACGGCAAAAAAAAACGAACGAAAAAACTGGCGCAAACAGTAGAAAGGGATTTTTTGCTATACGAATACATAAACCGTCCTGGCAAGCAGCATTATTTTAGTAAACAAAGGTAAAAGACCTTTAACAATAGCAAGAAATATCACAGACTTATAATATACAGCAGCCAGAGGCGAAGTTTGTCTTCGGTGCTGTCTTTTTCTCAGCGCACGGGATGTTGCAATAAATTCCGCGGTTGACGACCAGATTGAGGTGCAAAGTTGAATGGGCCAGATGGCGCATCTGTTCTCAGCAATGACCGAGATCTTGCAGCTATGTTGGTTTAGGAAATTACCTCCATGAAAAATGATCTCAAATGCGATTGCTCAGCACTGAGAAGAGTTTCCGCCGCACCGTTCACCAAGCTCGGTGGTCCGCTTAACTAACGTTGAGAAACTACCCGTAATTGTGACAGGAATCCTAATTTGGTGCCGACGTTATTAAATTGTACACGTACGAAACGTTCAACCATAATGAAGTATCACGCACGTTAGGCACAAATATATGCATCAACTGCATGATTATGGCACACTCACCAGAAGTTTCTCTAGGATTTTCTTCGGGAAGACCGCGCATGGGCGACGAAAATATCTAATTCAAAAAGACCGCAAGCAAGAGGCCACCCGCGGACATCGAGTAAATGGAGTATACGGAGAACGGACCATCATCACCAACGTACACTCAGAGATCGTGCCAGATAGAAGTCATCCTGGCGATCAACTCAAACGATTTCAGGGTACGACAATCGCGACATCACTCGCACTCCGGTCAAGAGGACGAACCGGCGACACTAACTTATTCGGCCAAAATCAATTTGGAAATTTTATTAGAAACGTAGAATTTTTATTCATGGGTAAACTTAGAAGAAAAAATGCGAAATCAGGAGTTTGGCAATTAAACTTCACTCACAGTCTTCTTGCAAAGCAGTGAAGGTTACCAACAGATACGAGCGAAATTTCAAGAATTAAGTCATTAAGTCCAACGCGAAAATTCAGAGTTCATTTAGCTGATTACAACAGAGGAAGCAGCCACCTAACTCGACAGGATCATTTGGTCATCCCAGTGGTTGCTTAGTTTTTTCTTTAGTTTTCTGAAATTTCATTACCACATTAAGCATGTAACGTCTTCCAAAATATCCACATGCACTGAAATTTTTATCACTGCCTCTATAACTCCTAGAAAAATTGATAAATTGGCCCAAGGAGGTAATTTGCCCCGAGTTCGGGAACCATGCGTTAGCCCAACTCACGTCGAGCGATTATGCTGGGCCATCAAAGCGCGGGCAGATGGTGACGGTTTATTGGTTTCGATGGCATGGCGAGCACTCGAGTGGATTGGAGGCAGCCTCAGAGAGTGGCGCATTTCACACCTCTAATGATGGCTGAGGTAATGATCGTATCCGGCCATAGCGCAGGTTGCTCTAAGAACGCAGCCCACACACTGTGATTGTATCGCTACGCTTCGAGATCAAGTCAACTGAGATCACTCCACAAATGTTGTGCAACCAACTCCAGAATTTGTCCGGATGAAATTGTTCATACAAAATAAATTTACAGGCTAGGAAGTTTGAAGATTTAAAAATGTACGCATTGATGTAATCAATTGTAAATATGCCTAGATCAACCTAAAAATTTAGATATCGCGCGCATTGGCACTTGAACCATTTCGTACTGACAATCTAACGTTTATATATTATATCTAACTAATCAAGTCATACGACGGATTCACTTTGCTATCGCAGACGGCCATGGCTCAACAGTAAACAGGCAACTGATAATCTGATATTAAAGACGGCAACATCAAGACAACTCCTCGCTGGTTTGAACCAATTTGAGGTACTTAGCCTGAAGCTTTTAGGGCGAAGTTCTCGAAAGCTTTCAAAATAATTACACCACAACCTTCTAATCCTTCAAAAGGAGATGGTAATGAAGACCACATATTAAGATTCGATCAGGTTTCACAATTTCATCAATTTTGTGTACTTTCTAAAGTGAAATAGGAATGATTGAAAATGATAGTTTCAAAGATAGTTACGATATTAAATTCTTGAACTTTTATAAGTGATGACTCTTCAGGGGAAAATTCATTCACTATTTTTTGAAACTTTATAAGTCAAACATCGAATTGTGAGCGTTTTGTTTCAAGTCTCACAATCAATTGCTTCATTATCTCAAACGAAATACCACATAAAAATATCGTGAGCAAGTTTTATCTACCTTACGTACCGTATACGTAGTGTTAACACTCATTTGCACGTAAAATACATCCAGCAATGTCGGCGGTGAGCAACGAACACAAATGAATGCCAAACATCATGTCAGGAGAAACTATTAAGTAAATCAAGCCCTTGAGTCTCAAAATAATAAGGGGTCGACTTTAATGATCCTTGCATTATTGCTCCATGACCGAAATTGACGAAGCGATGGTGCGCAGCAGCCAGCCTATGGCTCAACATGACCGTTAAATTGGTAATAACACGAGACTTCTTATGGAAGACTTGCATTTAAATGAACCCGTGGTACGGCTCCCAGGTACAACCTTTTTTGACTATCAATTTTCGATTTTCCTGCTGTCATTTTACTTTATATGTATTCTTAGTGCCAAGACGGGAGAGAAAAGGTATTTTTTCACATAACAAATACTTATTTTAATTTATTCTGAAATAATTAAACTTGAATAAATATTCTTCTAGGTGAAATAATTGTATCCCCTGCACAATTATTTCTTGCTGATTGTCTTCGACACAAAAACACAAAAAATAACAGGAGCGGTCAGCTTTAATAACAACTCGGTGTCAAGTACGTATAGATAGCACCACGAATATCTCATTGGATTCACAGTTTGTTCTTACAGAATAAGATATGCTGGAGCGGAATCGATCCTATCACGTTCTACACGTGTACTTTTCTTAATTAATAATATAGTACCCTCCTTGCTGATCCCAAGTAAATATAAGACCAAGCCTTTATTTCTTATAACGAAGATAATATTCTCACACTCATCTTAATGTAGATTCAAATAAAGCTTTCTCGAGCCTCCCAAAACTCACCCGCTTCAGAAACTCGGCAAAGGACGCGAGAGGGAAATGCTTGGTCATGTCCTGCACTTGCTCGATTTTCTCGACCAGTTTAGAGGGGTTCAAGTTGCTCCATCTGATCCCAGCACCAAGACCACTGCGTGTAAAAAGAGATAAATTTTAGCTAATAATAAATTTACGTAGATCAGAACTTGCAAATTTCCTGGATCAAGAAATTCCGCAATGCAATACACTTTATTCAATTTATACTATGAAAACTTCAGCGATTGAAACCACATGCAACGTGTCGTGTAGATCCTTATGTGTACTATCTCACTAGAAGGAAATATTATAGAAATGCATTTTACTAGCAACAAAACTATGACAACATATATAAACCCGCATGTATTTCTAGGTGGAATAAAATTTATCAAAAATATATTTCAAAGAGAAACATCACTGTAAACAAAAATCTACATCAAATCTAGCATTTCCATTCATAAAAATTAATGTTCAGCCCTAAATGTGAATCCCTTAAGCCTAAATCTGAAATTCAGTTGAATCAACCGACGCGAAATTGCAGGTTATTTGAGTAGATTGGAGAAGACTTTTCATCTAGAAATTACCTAATCGAATTCTTGATCACAACAAAATTATAAATCACGGTCTGTAACCAACCATCAAAAGTTCCGCTTGTGATCCAGAATATAGAACTGCTGAATATGCCATCAAGAATCAAGGATCATTAAACCACAAGACTGACAAAGAAATTCCAGTTTAATCCAGCCAGAACGCTAATTAAAATTCCTGACAAATTATCTAAGTGCCTACAATTAGACATGCTCGACGCTGCCCGCGAAGGAGAAGCGTTACTGCCAAAAACCCTACAGTTTTCTGTACAATGTGATCAACAAGGAATGCTGGTCTGATAAGCAGGCAATAAAATGAACAATATCTCAAAGGAGTACTGATCATGGGCATAAGGACGTCCACTAACAATTAATTAGTGTCCGCTCTAGTGACTCCCGCCCAGTGCAAATTAACGTTCTTAAAAATAATTATAAATATTGCCAGAAATATATGTTTTTATTCCATAAATCCTGAATGAAATTGAATAAAATCGCAATAAGCGCCACGTATAATGATAAAAATTGATTAAGAAAATTAGTAGCCTTACGTTGTCCGTTCTTAAAAATATAAGAATGTAGTGGGCGCGGTAAAAACATGACGTAGGTAGGTAACATGTGCTGCCTTACCTAATATAAATCCAACATGGAAAAACTACAATTGCGACTTATTGGCAAATAAGGGTAATAAATATGGCGTTAGTTTTGAGTAAGTGCAAGTAATGAGCGGCAGGCAAAGAAGACGCACTAATGTCCAACTGTTCTTAAGTCTAAAATTAATGTCCTTATGTTCTCAAGTTGGTCAACACAAGAAATTAGTAGAATTGCTTCATATTCCAGTTCTAGCAATTTAAATTCAAATAAAATCGGACTGGAGCATCAAAAAATATCCCTCTGGCTTCCATAAAATGAAAAAAGTGTATGTTGAAAACAATCATAATATTTGTAATTATTCTAATACAATTCATCGCTGTTGATGTTAATTCACAGGACTACAACGCAGCGTAGATAGTGATCCTTGAAGTATTGGGGCACTAAGATCTAAGTTTCAATATCTTCGATCAATAAATACCATGCAATTATTAAATTTAGGCATGAATATGTTAAAAAAATTGCCGTTCATAAATGGCGTCAGTATAACATAGAGAGGAAAAAATTAACCTACAAATAACCTAATTCCCAAACAAACTTGACTGACTTCCTCAACAAATTTAATAACTGAAACGAGAGCACATTAAATTTTGAAACAAAAGGCCGGCATGAATGTTGTGCTCGACCATAAAAACACGGCAACCGCCAGCGTGGAACGCGTCGCAAGAATGGAGAGCCCGGTGACTCGCCATCAAATGACTCGATCAGGCAAAGGGGAAAAATTAGACAACGTGATGGTTCATCGTGCGTGCACATTGACGAACAAGATAAAAATTTTCGAAACGAACACGTCAGACAAAGACGCACTGATTCAATCAATCGCAATTCTCTCGGCGACGGGAAATTCACCGCTAGGATTTTTACCGTCGTAACTTCGGATGAGATTTTTCAATGCGAAAGAGACCTATAATAGGAGGCAGAGAGACGAAGCGGTATTGTGCAGCGTGGTTATCTATAGTCAAAGTTTGATCATTAGTGTTGAATATAAAAAGGAAAACTGGGTCAGGCTTTCATTCCTTACCACATGATGCGCATTATAATGGAAGGTATACAAGTGGAAAGGTTAGTTCAAACAAAATCTACATTAAAAATGACCACGCCAAGATTGTGCTCTATGTAGCCGTACGCTAGATCGAGAACCTACCTCTATAGAACCGAGAATAGTTTGTTAACTGACGGTTGGTCAACGGTTTTTTCGATAATTGTTTATGAGACGTAAATTGCATGCAAAAGAGCGTATATTTTAGTGCATAAACAAAACATTCACGCAGAAATGATTGGTCTCATTATCCACAAATCATAACTAATTAAACAACGTCGCCAGTCTTAATCCCACTGGCAAGATAGTTTAATCTAAAAAATATATTTTGCTAGCATTTGTTTACCTCGTCAACAATAATAACAACAAAATGTTCTTAATACTTATTATTTAGAATTATTTAGGCATGATTAATCAGCTTATTCAGATGATAGTGGCAAACGGGTAGCTAATCGACTCACGAGGAGAGAAAATAACAGACGTGATCAGAATCGAGCACCCGCATTTGGCAAACAAAGGATTCCAGTTAAACGGATGAAGTCTTCCACAAAGAATCATGAAACGTCTCAAAATGAAGAAACTTCAATAAAGCAGCAAATACTTTCATGAATAATTCAATATACTACATTGCTTAGCTCATATAAGTACCAATCTCCATCGCTTCTCTGGGCGCGTCACTCGAATGGGACATTACAGCTACAGCACGGTCATTCGAGTTATCGAACAATAAGTCTACGGAACGCGCGCACACACATTCAGAGACACGCTGGCGAAGTCTAATGGAGACATCAAAGTGATGCCTAAGGCGACTGCTGAAACTCCTACTAATCTTGGGGTTGAACCCCTCTCCCTGCGCCCCAAGTCCTGACCTCCCCCACCATGGCACAATGGTCCAAGTAACTGCTGCGAGCTCCTCTAATGGAATACAACTCAATGTGCTGTGGGTGGCCCGCTAGACGCTCAGTTTTGAAAGTTTTTTAGGCGGCTGTGGAGCTCATGAGGCGGTTAGGCTTGCAAGCTGGGCATGGGTATGCACTGTACAATGAACGAGGACAGTTTTGTTCAGAAAAGACATCTTATATACTGGTTGCACATTTGATATTAAATCAAATAATATATTGTTGCCTAGAAAATGCATCTAAGATCCAGGACTTGCGTTTGATTTTGAAACGGAAAATGATTACTGCGAAAAAATGCAACCAAAATATAACTAGTACTGTCAAAGAGCGATCAGGATGGAAGCAAACAGTTAAAGTGACAGCTACGCGTAGTTTGATGCATCTAATCGAGGTATTAGAAGTAAATAGATACTCTATCTATAGCAATGCAGGCTAGGGACTTGATTATCCAGGGACTTCACTTTCCTTCACTGAAACTAGATGCAACTCTGCCAGTCAATGATGCGTGTCAAATAGCTAAGAGGATCATTAGACACGTTGCAGGAACGCCAAGTTCGGCTTGCGAAAGGCTACAGTCCGAGTCCACAATCAGTTTGATGACCCACGATTATCACTCATTGTCATTGGTATCACTAAGTTTGTAAGTTGGAAGAGAATCGAATCAAGGAATAAAAATTTAGCTTCCACGTTTGGATCCATGTTTTCAGAAACCATCGGATGCCCCAGACTCAGTTATCATGATTTCAATCGAAATTAATTTTAGCCCAAAAAAGGGAAATTAGAATCCACCAAGCAGACTAAGGGAAAATGCACAAAAATTCTAAATTATTGATTTACAAACGAGCTTTAACTAAAGTCTAAAAACCTCATCCAATTGACAAGAATTAGGTGACATTGGACTAGCTATTTTTATATAAAAAAATACTCGTAACCAGAACACACGAGGGTAATGTAAATTGGATCGAAATAGAATTTCCGATTTTAAAACTTGACGCTACATTTCTCCCAGGGCACAGTAGGTAGGAGAGGGCACCAGAAAGGTGGATGAGGTGGAAGGAGCGTGGTGAAGCACTGAGCGGGGCATGGTGTAGTACCAACGGGGGTGAGAAGGGAGAGGGTTTGATGTCTTTATTAGTGAGGCCGGTAAAAGAGGCGTATGCCTCCGCCACTGCCGTGTTTACAGAGGCGTACATACATGCGGGCATGGGAAGCACGCGCACGAATTCCTCCAATGAAATACGATACGAAGTTTTAGCTGGAAGCTGATGCTGCTTAAAATTTTCATAATTAAATAACGAAATTAGGTACAAAAATCAGTTCAGGCACATTTCATTTTTTAGGACGAAAAATGCGTAAATATCTTATCATCAAGCAGAAGTCAGCTCATTATCTCAGCTTATTCCTACGAGAATCCCAATATTCAACAAATACAAAGTAGCAAAATCCTCAGAAACAGTCCTACCAATTTCTATCGATTCAGGCAATAAAAAAAAGGTTAGACAAATAAAATAGGTACCATAATATTCAAGTACTTGAAAATTAAATTGTTTCAAATTGTATACTGAGAAAACACGATGGTGTAAGGAAAACATTCAGAGGAACATTAGCACAATAATAATATTTGCAAGTTCAAGATTAATATCTGCGTAAAAATTGCTAAGCCGGTCGTATATCATGAGCCATAACCAAGTGAATGAAGAAAGCTCCGAAGCGAGCGAAAAGCACTGGAAGAATTTTTACCTGTTGCGGCCGATGGCACTCTGGGTGGCCAAGCGACTGATGTCTTAATCTAGCACGCCACCCCCCTCTCCCACTGGCGCTGCGGTGCGAGCCAAACGTACGATGATGCCACCGTGTTATGAATTGCAACGCACAACAAATATAAAGTTTATACTAACAACCAAAATTTATGAATCGTCGAAGTCGTTACTTGCGTGTAGAATTTGTAATACATTGAGGCATTGAACTGAAGGGTTGAAAGGCAAGCACTAATGTTCGAAAGCGTACGACAACTTCAAAACACGCGCGTAATCGACCTCAGTGACGTCTGGTGTCGAAAGAAGCAGAAGAGTCAACCAGCACACGTTTTCATCCTGCTTCGACCCGTTGACTGTACACGCAAGAGTTTCGTGTACACGAGATGGATTATTACAGTAAATCGAAAAGAAACAACTAATTATGTCGCAAATAAGCCTAAATGAAAAACTTACGGCACAGTGACCGGAAACTTTGGTCCGAGCAAGAGGGAGCCTTCCCAGAAGCAGTCCAATGGAGTGATGATGGTGCACGGATTCAAGTGCTCAAAAATCTGAAAAATTAAATGCACAACTTTTACTGTACAGTATTGTATTGTTTCCGTATTATTTTTCAGTGTTTTCAATAATGTTTTCAATTGCCAACCAAGCTCAACTCCATAAATGAAATTTTTAATACCAAAAAAGCAATGATCTCACCTTTTCAACCTGGTAGCTTTCAAATTCAGGAAACGTGGGAGCATAACAAATATCGGACAAGCTCCAACTTCTGCAAGAAGAAACAGATGTTTAAACAACCAAGAACTGTTTCACACAGTTTCAATAAGGAAAAAATTACCATCTCGATCACTTGAAGATTAAAGCAATCGGCATTCTCATTTTCAATCAAATAATATTACTATACCTTACAATTTGAAAATCAGTTACTCGTGGATTGCTGCTTTATAATGATTAAAATGAAACACATCTTGCACATCACAAGTATATTAACATTTATCTGTAATATAATAGCGGGTACGCTGCTTACGTATCGTAAAGATCGACGGAGACGCTGATCGCAGACTGCAGCACAGCGAGGTGCGTCAGCAGGGCGGAAGACTTCAGTAAGTTAGGTGCGGATGACTCGCCCGCGGCGGTTTGGATGAGCATTTGTTTCGTGGATCCGGCGCCTTTGCCCAGAGTAGCTTCAACGTACTGCAGTTCTTGCTGCAGTCGTCCGCCCTCTACAAAAACACAATAAAACTCGTTATCATAAAGTATTAAAGTAAATGAACTAATGATCTGACGAGTATGATTTATTTTTCATAAAATTATATTATACAGGAATAAACGATCCTGACTGAAAATTCTCTTACTTTAAATGATTTTAAAAAGAAGGATATCGCTAAGGACAATACAAGAATGGCCCGAGGTTTAGCATGAGCAGCGTATCTCATGTTGCGTTGTGTGGATGATGAGAGTGAGCAAGCGTATGTATAAATAAGGCGTCAGTGATGCGGGTGGTCCGCTCTCAGCGTCTAAGTCGCCATGACAAGTGTAGTGATCCCGCATCCTCTTTAATTACCACTCCCACGCCCTGCGCTCTGGTTTTGCTTCACATCCGCCAACCATGAAGAACCTCGTCTTTTGCTCCTCTTCACAGTTGCCTGACCTCAAGCTATGCCTCAATGCAAGCGGAAGCGACAAAAGCACCTTCACACAATTATCCAAACGTTCATTAAATAAGGTAAATTTACCCCACAAAACTAATTAAAAATGAAAATTGTATAAATCGTCTTTATATAGGGGATAACGGAGCAAAAGGCTAGCTAAATGAACAAATAATTTCTCAGTGACGCAAGCATACAACACAGCATGTAACGGTACACTTCCCTGCGATAGAGTTGTTTTCTTACGTTTATTAAGCGTTCATAGATAGCTAAAACCAACACTTCTTGCACAAATAAATGCAGAGGCGCCATATTCTGCATATCCTTAGGCATCTGAAGTATATTTTCCTAGGATAGCAAAAATGGTAAGTCAATAGCATATTCCACGCATCACGAAGTCCCGCATAAAATACGACCGCGCGCGGCTCCGGGTAACAGACTATCTTTATGAGATCACCAAACACCAAACAAACTGTGGCTTCTTGCATTCACGCTGAGTCTCAGCGGGACGTTCCATGTTAACAAACTGCATTAACGTCAGGCGAGCGCATTTGACATCTCAGCGACAGTTGAGAATTTCATCTTAGAGACTCAAAAGAAAATTATCTGTACCTATGAAGACCATAATACTTTATACTCCAAACCTGACAATTTCTAACTTAATAATTTCCGAAAAAATATGCCTGAGCCCTCAGAAAATTGAATAACACGTTCAAGAACCACAAATTTCATAAATTTGCGCGGAGCTTTGGATACGGCAAGTGCTATTTGTGTTGTTGCAACATGTGTACGGTTCGAAATTACAGTTTTACTCGACCAATCATGAAAGAATCCGTACGTAATGAGAACAGCACAGATGTTCATCAGGCCAAAAGTGCGTAGACTAACAGACTATATACAAGGTCTAACCTACCCGCATGGTCTTACCCCGACCAAGAAAACGTACAAACAAAACGCACGAAAAGCGTCGTCGTCGGCGGCGCAAGAAAGAGAGAGAGATTTGGCACCACGTGCGACCAACCGTTCATTGAAACGAGCGCGAGACGTGGCACTCCAGCACTAGGCGAGTGCGCACGTGGGTGGTCTGCCAGCTATAGCACTAGCAGTTCAGAACTTAGCAGCTGAGCGGTAGTAAATAATGTGAATACTATTCTATAGTGCCTTCCTAACGATCTTATTCGTCGTTATCAAGCGACCACAAGTTAGAAGTGTGCATCCAAATTACGCGAAGTGATTGTACATGAACATGATGCTTTACCTTCAACGCAAGCACTTAAACGTAAATATTCAATGATGGTGAAGGTTGGAATCTGTTTTAAATTAAGAAAGAATATTAGGATCTGTGCGTAAATACCTTAATTAAGCAATGAGACCAAGTTAATAACATTTCTAATTCACCTTGTAAAGATTTGTTGAAAGTTTGCGTACTTGTTTGTTAGAAGGCGGGCACCATAGTATACGCGGGCTATTCGAGTCGTATCCACAATTTTCATATCGGGATTCTACCTGGATCTAAAAAATTTACTACTTACGGGAAAGTAGTAAAGCATTGCAAAATGGGGATGGGAGGTTTGAATCGAAATTGCAATTTGATTTTTAAATTTATAAATATCAATTTCGTTTAAAAGAAAAAAATAGTTTCTCCGCATTATGGAAAGAGAATTAAATGGAAGTTGTACGTTCTATATTAAATGTTGGTTTGAACGTAAATTTTTCCCAATTATCGCGCATCAGTTATCTCCTCATTATCGAATTCGGAACAACAGGACTCTATAATTGCAAGGATTTATTACTATGGTTATTGGCTACGCCGGACTAACCTGATAGCGTTCCCGAATCCCATAGATATACAAGGTCTATATATAAAAAATTTTTACTCATCGCCGTACTCAAGTTGAAAGTTGGTATAATTAATATTGAAAAGACTAACCAAGTAACTTCAGCGTTTTTCTGGAGCCAACTTTAAACTTGAGTAAAATGTTAATTTAATCTGTAAATTTTCTACTGAATGTACTCTTAGATAGTAAATTATTGACAAAACACATGAATATATTGCGCCACTAGTTACAGACGACTACATCGAAACAGTAGAACATCCAGTTAACGTTAAGGAAGAATCACTGGAAATAGCAGCAATAAATTAAATTTAAAATACGTTGCCGAAATTTTGACTAAAATTATATTTAAATATCCGACTGACCGACGCATGCGCAGCACATGCTTCTCTGTTTCCACCACAAAAATCAACGCATCAGAACTACTCTACTTTAAAGCCAAATTCAGCTAGATTATTTCACTTTATTTACAGTACGTAAATAAAATCGTCTAAATAATTACATAAGCCAGAGTAGTGGCTGGGAACTTACAACAAAAAGAGAAGAACACAGTTAATATACGAGCAGCTGCACTATGTTTGGTTATTAATTACATGCAGAACCTTAGAGAGGGGAATGAGCTGTCGGAACGAGTCCCTTCCTTCTGAGAACATCATCGTGGCCATTCAACGGACCTTTTGTGATGAGTGAAAACAAGGTACACACAGAAATTGTTTACCTCCACCACCGACTATACCAAAGAAAACCAGTGCTTGACACGCCGAGTGTTTGAACTACCAATTCGTAGGGGTTGAATAAGCGTCAATAAGTCGGGCAATAGTCAATGAGCGAGCAGTCGTAACGAGAGCGTTGGTCTATCTCTAGGAGTCTGGCACTAACGAGCTTGCAGACAGCGAAGAAAAATACACCTTAAATTATTGTCAGTAGAGAAGAGAAGGAAAACATCAGGGAAGTGTGAAAAAAGTGACCTGGGAGAGTGCCAAAGAGACTACCTTCACAAGCACGGCGAAAAACAAAGACGAGTAATATTTGATTATAGAGGCAATTTTCATCGCCGTACATCACTTAAAAGGAAAATAAAAAAAGGGAAATAATTGTGCACACTCTAAAAATTATAACTCGTTGTGACCTAAATTGAGGTCATGCCTCGCCCGAGTATACGCCTGAACCTCGATCATCATTTTAATTTTAAATGATCAGAAGGAAACGCACATTATCAATTCATGAACTAGAAAAACCCAACAAAGTCTTAGTGAGAGTTATTGTAAAACAAGCTCAATATAATTAGTAAATCAAGTAATGCGTTACGGTACGTAAGATGCATAAAAAATGGAACGTTTGTGACCGAGAATAAAGAGGCAAGAGAAGCAGTCTTTGAACTATTCTAACCCTACGACCCCATTGAAATCCAAATGTTTTTTCACATCGTACTTGAATGCAGGACGGCATTCAAGCACAGCCGACAGCGATCTCATATAACGCCAAGTCACAGGCTCACAGCGCCTATGGAATTGAGAACAGGAAAGTCTCTGGGAAGAATTCGCTTCGGTTATCGCCATTGAGTAGCTACTGAAAACATTGCCAGGTGGGAGAAGAACCAACTACACAGGAAGTCGGCACGGCAAAAGACTTGCGTTTCCTACACGAGACTCGTCTGAGCGTCCTATATTTATACACATTGCATTTTTTTCTACGAGTACGTTTCACCCAAATCGGTTGTGGTAGTTTTCGGCGCCAGGAATACATCGAATTATTATCCTGAGCCCGATGTAAATAAAATTCAATTAAGTGCATTCATCGTCCGCTACTATATAATTAGTACTATGTCAATGCGCAATTAATTTTAAACGTAAAAATTATTCAAATTTTTATACAATTAAATATTTTTTCTTCTAGAATTATAATTATCGGGAACAATGAGGTAAAAGTAATATTTTGTCTACGATAAAAATGCACATAAGCTAGCACGGTAACCAACCTATTTGATTAATCATTGAGGCAAGTAATTAATAATAGGCAATAAAACGTGGGTAGAAGAGTCGAGCTCGAAGCAAGATGACTTGATGGATTGTTGATCTAGTCAAAGTTCTTTCTTTGACAAGAGTTGGAGCTACACAAAGTGGCGATTTCAATGACAATTCCAAATTCAAAATCGTTTTTCAGCACACGCCTAGTGAAAGTATTAGACTGAACCCACACGATCGTACTTCAGATACACGCTTGATGAGAAGAACAAAATATTATTCATGTCAGTACAACCTCAGTGAGACGAGCAGAATCTCATTCACGGAAGCTGTCAACACGAATCGTTAGGTGTACTTGTTCATACACAAGATGGCTGATGGAGTGAGAGAGAGAGAGACGTTACACCAGACCAGACAGCCTCAAAGAATAAATGGCAGTGCAAACTAATGGAGGCAGCAGCCAGAACAGATTAGCTCGGTGCGGCCACCTGAAGGTAATCACTGTGAATGAACCCAGCGGTTCATCTTGTGCAGTAACGAAAACCTTGCAAACTAGCGCATTGCTTTTAGCGCTAAAAACTGAGAGCGGAAGATGAGGATTTAATGGGAATTCTCTGTAGATAAGATACGGACCACTGTCAAAAAACTGAAGCAAAATGCATCTAGGAAGATTAGGTATTACCTCGATCAAGTTAAAAAATCACGAAATAAAAATTCGACGTTACTAAAATGAAAATTCAAACGATCGGCGCCAACACCCGCCGATGTCTGAATTTGAAAAAGATAACAACTGACACGGAGCAGCTGTCATCTGCAGCTGCCATTATTGCAGCTGCCTTTACTGCAGCTGCGACACTTCCTGGTCATCTAACAAATGCATCTAAAAAATATTGCTGAACCGGTCAGGTATTTCCCGCGCATCAAAATCTCATGATCGCTAACTTATACAGACCAGTTTTTGCTTAGATAAAATATCCATGATGGTATAATGCGTTGATAACTGGACTTGGACAAAAATTAGTATCTAGTGCATGATAATAGCGAAGAAGCGTCCCTAGTACACAGTTAAGTCAAGATTCAAGGTTTTACGGTAAATTTGGTAAGAAAAAAAAAATAATAATAAATATCCATGATTTTTCACACTGGACACTTTATTATATAGTATTTATCAGGACTCATAATTTCAACTTTTACAAATATTTCAATTTTTAAATAAAAAAATGCATAGATGTTTTATGACACGTTAATCCAAAAACCGAAAGTTACGACTCTAGAGCTGAGAAAAAGTACCGTAAGGAAAGTTCTAGTCATATAATAATTTCATTTTACTATAATATTAAGCACATCCGACAGCTTTCAAGACTGCTTCTTGCCAGCAATTATAGCCATCTGTTCAATGTACATATACATGCCACGAAATCTTCTAAAAACCGCAGTTGGGAAGATAATAGCTTATTTTTAGATAACTATAGCTAAAATGTGAATATAAACATAATAAATGATACGGTTCTTCGTGACTCAAGGTTATTCATAATGTGAACTTGCTCATTATTTGTAACGGTCTCTGAAGACCAAAGAATCGACATTTGTGTACCGACTATAATTTTGTGCTCAATTTTTTTGACAGGACTCAGGAAAGTACCGATTCGATTATAAAGAAAGTCATGTATAGATATTCTGAAAAAATCCAGGTTACCTGTCTTTGCTGCCTGAACATGTCAACGCTACCTAAACATGAGTCAAAATAACTTACTCTCAAGAAAAATACAAACGGTATGATACAGTACAGAATGTTCAGCATATACAAACACCGCTTATTGGCATGCGCCTAACAACCAAGAACCATTAGGTTTATACGATGTATTATAATTAATCATAGGTAAAATTCTTCATCGTTAAAGACTCGCGCAATAAGCCTCGTTACAGATGCGTAGGCTCGCTGGCATACAGGGGAGACGCATCTTAAGATATTTATTCACATACGACGTCAGGATGGGATACATCAAGCAGCGTCGCGCTGTTGCTGGGAGGCGGATTGAGTTGAAAAAAATGAAGGTTTCACATAGCTTTGAAAAAATTACATTTTATGAGACTTTGAATGCAAGTTCATACGTTGAAATTTCAGGAATTTGGAGGTTCTACTTATTAATAATTCCGAATGTTGTAAAACATTTTTCGGGCATCTTCAAGAAAAAAAATAATAATAATCCCAAATGCATAGACAAAAAATTATTTCCCGTAGATGAATCGCAATTAACATCACAAATACAAGTGCAAACTGTCAGTAACTGACAATATTTCAATATAAATACAGAAGCGTTCGTTAATTATCAAAGGCAGATGCCCGATATTGATACGTCAGAAGATTGCCTAGCGATCATTACTCGCTTGGCCAGCAACATCCTTCACATAGTCATAGACGGACGAAGGTGAAGGTCCAAGTCCAAGAGCTCGGCTACGGGAGCAACCATTTGGCGGTAATCAGTCTTTACGGCAGGCGTCCATACATCGATCCGAGTTCGCGATACGTCATGACTAGTCGAGTGTATCATTTCTTTGGGGGATGGTAACCGATCCAGCTAAGTATTTAAGATCGTCGATAACACAACAATGAACTCGGGTTTTAGAGAACCTCTAATATAGAAGCTAAAGCGAATTCATTTCTAAATCGACATAACATAACAAGATCGATCGTCCGACGTCCGTCGTTTCCAACAAAGAATCGATGGACTTAAAACGTTGACAAGCTCGGAAGGATAATCGGGAAGATTAATGGAATGATGAGAGTTAAAAGTGTCCCAGTAGCAGAGCACGGCTACAGAAATTGTCATGGCGGAGATAGTAACTAGGGCAGCTATACCTGGAAAGATAACTAAGACCACACGCATGGCGAATCTTGTGGGAATATTCGAGGAACGTATCAATATAATTTTCAAGTTCCGGCGAAATCGCTATCAAACAACAAGTAATCAAAAGCAATTTGAATAACATATGGCAGGGTAATTAGTATTAATAATTTTAATAATTTTTCAATAGTTCACAAATGATGAACGCCACACAATTTTTACGCAAGGTTGCTCGACGAGGATTAATAAATAAATGCTACCTCCTTTCTTATATATTCTTACTGATTTATCAGCAAACAAAACAACGAAAGTAGTATATCTCTTATAATGACTGTATTTGAAAATATCATTTGATCGGCAACCAGTAGGTATCAGTTAGTATATGTAAGAATAATATTACTAATAATAATCCATTTACATACATAGAAATTTTATTAATAATCATGCTACAAATTTGGAAGTGATGGTAGTAATAGCAATGCCTAGCACTTGAAATAACAATGCTTCACTCTACTCACCTTGGACCCAAAGTTGTTCAATGTTGGTGACCAGCGTGGCGCTCTTGAGGCCCACGCAGAAGGAGCTTAGCACGAGGATGGCCACGAAGACGACCTTGCCGGCATGTCTGTCGCAGAACTGACCGGCCTGCTGCAGCTGCTCCTGAAGCAAACACCGCATCCACAGAGCACCGCGGCTTCCTGACGCTCGCCCCTGAAAAGGAACAAATGCACTGAATTACATGTTAGGTACACTTGCCTAAATTCTGTAAGCTTCGCTTCGGGAGTGCGGGGTCGAAGTCACTAATTATGCGGCATGTGTTCGGCTTAACTTTCGTAGTTTCATGGACCCCGCGGGGGATGGCGTCTGTTGCCACATCACTCAAACGAAAACCAACTCGACTGTATACTGTATAGAGTATCTTGAGTCCATTAAGATTAAAACAATCCCTTTCTCGTTGAAGAGGTCATGATTGTTACCTCTATTTGAGTCGAATGCAATAGTAACAAGTTGACAATTGTAATAACGACTGCTGTCCACTGTACAGTCTACAGTGCAATCTTGACAGCAAGTCAAGATTACAAGGATTGAGTTCATTGACTCGAAATGCCGTTCAACGACGATTACGGAGAGCTGCGATAGAAAACATCGTAATAGCGATCAAAGCATAATTCGTTGGCGTTCATAACACCATAAATATTTGCAAACAATATAGGCAAAGCTTAACAGCCAGTATACGAGGTTCATAACCAAAGAGCTGCAAATGTTTGCGCCTATATAGGGTAAACAAGTGAAAGGAGTGAATACAGGAGGATACATGAATTAAACGAGATGGCGACATGACTCAACACCGCGCTAAGTTAATTTCCGATAATCTCAGAAATGAGTTATAGCAATTCCTTCACTTTCATTCCCTCGCATAGTTTCACTTTGAGAATTCAGTATCCTCTAATTCACTTGACAAATTAATTCATTTAAATGTGACGCGCTCAACAGGATACTAATCGCACTCCATGTAAAAATTATGCCAATGCTATAGGTTCCGCCAGATCAAGGACGTTCCGCGTAATCTTTCTCCAAAATGTAGTAGAGGAGAAGCGCTTCTCTTGTGACATATCTCACGTGGTTCGGGAATCAGGAGAAAACTGGTTATTCGAGATGAGCTAATAAAGAATAAAAATCACGGAAGCTTTGTGTGCACTACTCGCATATAGTTTACTGAATGGTCACACGATAAATTTGCCAGTATTTATAATAAGGATAAACACTGAAATTTAACATCTCGTACATCCTTCCTCCGATTACTACTAAGCAATAATAGCAGGTTCACTGCGACTAGTAGAAGATGGTTATTTATATAGACAACGTTGAATAATAATCGAGTAACGAACAGAGATGATGTAGATTAACAATAGTATAACAAATCAAGTATTTATGTCGTTTAGAATTAGAACACATCAACATCAACAAGTAGGAATGCTTTGGTAAAAAAATGTAACCTACCCTAAAGCTGTTCACCGGCACCCCCACCAAAGCCAAACTGGCTCTTGTAAGTTGTAACCAGCCTGCGCTGCAACTGAACCAAAAACTAAAACTACATCTACAACACAAACCCCTACCACTCGCTGTTCCCTGTCCCTGTCGACTGTCGTTACATGAGAACCAAGTTAACAGGAAGCAAAGACGAGGTTCTAGCGTGGACAACTAGGAAAGTCGCCAAATTCTGTTAATTACTAACAAATGGGTGACATTCTAACGTATACTCAAGTGTCTTTAGAGATAAGCTAATCTGGAAATCAACAAGACATCGTTTTTACCGTTATTCCCTTCTAGATTGAACATATGTTAGTTAGACTTAGAAAGTGAAACACTCAAAACATTCTTTCACTATTGCTGATTAAGTAGGTATAGGTAACTGAAGGTAAATTCAACTGTCGTCAGAATGTCAAAAAAAACTAACTTCTAAATTTATGGAGTAAATATTGACTGAGATTCTATTTAATTTCGGCTGTTCAATTCCATCATTTTCATGTACTATGTCTAAAGTAGATTTGAGATTGTCAGGATTCACGAAACAAATAGAGGAAGATCTACTATAAAATTAAAATGCAATGCTAGTTACTAACTTACTAGATTATGTAACTTGTAATTTGTAAGCTCAAATTAAAATCGGGATGTTAGTATATGGTGCGTAACCCGGTAACCGTACGTTCATTTTCACGGAACCATGTACGAAAGCTGAGTAGCCTGTACATTGGGATTTGGGAGTCGGGTCCTACGTTAGCGGTCCAGCGGAAGTCTAAATTAGTTACGAAAAAAAAATTACGAAGCTAGTGTAGAAAGACCATACGAGTTATGACTAATAACAGGACTTTTACAGGGTCTCCCGGCACCGGCACTAGTCAGCTCAAAGTATTTGGTGTTGCCGGGTGTGTCTCTCACCTTAGTAATGTGGGCGAGCGCAGTACGTGCGTCCACCCAGCTCGTACGCGTACATATTTCCTTGTGCGAGCAAACCGTTGGTACTGAAGACCTTCCTTCTACGTCAACTGCTACTGCCATTTCACGAACAATCGCCACTTTCTACGGTATTCAGCGTAACACAATATCGACATATAAACTCTAAATATATCACACTATTGATCTAGAATTTCAGTAATGAAAACACACTAAGTCGGCAGTGTGTTGAAACGTGAAAGCTCTACACAACACAACAACCCCATGGCCACCACACATAAATATCACACACGGCCTCGACCACTTTCATCGAACCACGCCGAGCAACTGACAAGTTGAGCCCTCCTTCCTCTCTTTATAACTCCGCCCCAAAGCGCCAACTCCGCCTGACTTGAGTCGTCATGGCAACGCAAAGAGAAGGCCACCCACGAAGTTGTTGCACAAAAATGCCATTGCCACGGTATCTTGTCAGCTACGAAATGCACAAATGAGCTGTAACGCAGCTCAAGTGAGGCAAATGGATTAACTTCAACGGGTGTGATAATGGAACAATGCTGCAAAAGTATGTCCTCGCTCGCCGCTGCAATGATGTACAGGGAGCATATAGTATCCAATTTAATTGTAGAAATATTATGATGATTGTCATTGAAATCCTGTGCTGCAGACTTTACTGGGTATTTCACCGAAATCTGCACGACTTCCAGGGTTGCTAACACTCGAAAAAAATAAAAACAGCAAATGAAAGGCGCTTGATAATGAACTTAATATTAAAGAACATTCAGGGCTCACGAATGATTTTAAGAATATGTGATATGAGCTTTTTTAATTGCAAACAGAAGTGAAAATGCTGGTGGTAACTTGCAAGATAAAGAAATTTCTGCCAAAATTTCTAACCGCTGTTCGTGTTTTTTTCTCACGAGCATGGGAAATCTTCAATTATATTGATATACATCATAATTCGAGTCTTTATATGAAATCGCTTCAACTGCAATAGCTTCAACATTCGCATCATAGTTATATCTAAAAACCTAGCAACGTGAAATTTATAATAGAATTGCTATAAAGAAATACGATAAAGAAATGCGAATATATTAATTGTGCTCATTTAAAAAAATTATTTCCTCCCTCATTCCTTATGACCAAGAGATCGATACCATAGAGAAGCAAAATGGGTCACAAAAGGCACAATCTTCTTTAATAATGGAAAGTTTAACCCACCTAAGACTGGTTTCAAACGTTTTATCTTTGTTACCATAAGAGACATATATACCACAAGCGCGTTACCTTTCACAAATTTTGTCCCCATATAAATTCAGAAATTTTCCTCTTCACACGAATTTTCCTCCACTTCGGGACCACTGATCTCTGAACTTTTAAAGCGTCTCGTTCTTTGAGTGAAACTTACTAGGTAAAGAAGAACCTTCGTGCCACAGCAATTGAAAAAAGTAGTTTGACCTCACAACCTCAAGAAGTCCGCCCAATTACACTAGTGGAAGGCATATTCCTCATGGCATTGTATGGGTGACTTCTGAGATTTACTACAACACTGGGCCCGCATCGTTGCACCTAACTAGACGCGTCTCAGTGAACGATGCATCAGATGCCAAGGTGTCGCTCACAACTCTTATCTTGACACGGCTACTTGCCACAGTCAAACTTCCGAGGCTGGCGTTAGCGGTTTATCCAAGGATTGGGTTTTAAACTACGATGGCAACAGTTGTAATACTTTTAAAGGCAATGAAAGAATCCCTGTTAAATTAGTAGTAGTTACAAATTATCAATAACCAAAGAATGTAACAAATTATAAGATAAATTTGCAGAGAGAAAGCGGCTATATTCAGTGCAGATAGTCAGAGGTAGCCCTCCTTGTGACAAATTACTCCGCATCAAAGTTCTCAATGCACGACGCTTCTTAGCCTTACCATCATGGAGAGCTGGATCGGACCATAACAAACGGGCTTGGTAGGAGGGATTCTGAAGTGATCTATGCTGTAGGACATGTTTGATTGCTATCTAGATCACGACACGTCTCGCGATACACTCGATCTAATATGTCAGGATCGAGGCGACTCTATCTTCGACTGTGACCATTTTTGACTAGCAGCTTTTGCATCCGCCGCAGCGCCCAAGCCAACAATGCTGACTCTGAATCTGATCGACTATTTTTCGACCAAGGCCGATTGGTAATAATGACCGTAGCAGTTGGTAACACAATTTGCATGACTCAAAGGAAACTTGAGTTAATTCAGAAAAAGGAAAATACAATAATTTCATTTCTTTTTGCGAGCGTTCAATGATTACGCGCTGATTATAAATGATAGTACATGCATCAATACTTTATAATGCAATATCATCTGCTCTGTTATAGCTGTGGGTCATAGAGGCGGCGATCCACCGTTCCTGCTGCGCCGGAATCACATACTAAAGACACTGAGCTTATTTCAATCCATTTCCCATGGCTGGATGCATTGCTATAATTATGAAATTTCAGCATTGCAAGTACAGGAAGTTCAGAACGGTACTCAAGCTTTGCGCGAATCGGAACGCCAGTTCTGTCTGCGTACAGAGAGACGTAGAAAAAGTCTGCTTCAAAAAACTAAAAAAGAAATTGCTGCCGAGATGGGCTTTATGCCCTTCTAGCTCGCAGAAGTTGATGAAGACATTAACATTCCTGGACTGAGCGATCTTTTCTGGGTCTCTGGACGTTTCCGTAGTATTTCGTTTCTATTTCACGAGTTTTAGTATAGGATGACTGCTGGGAAGTGTGGCCACGGGCGGGTGGCCCTCTCCACCTCTGTCTGCATGATGCCTTCAGCATGGAAAGATCCACACATTCTTGATACTTGAATTTTTTTCAACTAAAAAATAGTTTTTTTTAGTTCATGACATGAAAACTGAAGCGTTATTCTCCTAGTGGCCGCAGCTGTAACTGTTAATTAATTTTGACAAGCTACTTTCTTGCATTTACATTATTCTTCTGAAGGTATATCATGCAGCCGTGAAATCGTAATCACTGTTTAAACTTCGAACACTTGTTCTCTTTTTTTAAATGATTTAATTTACACAAATTTTCGGGCTTCGAATTATCATCATGATATCATGCTCGCACATGGATATTTCCCGCAAATTTATCTTCACTATAGTTATGGGAAAATTTAACATATTCATCATATGCTGGAAAACCTCTCATCGATCCAATGTTACTCCTGTTAACCTGTCTTATATACCTGCTATAATTATATGAATGAAGTATTTTTAGAGTAATTGTATCATGCGAAAAATTATATCAGGCAGACAAATTAAAATAAAATCAGCGGAGAAATATCTTCATCTTCTTATGACATGGTCTTATAAAATTTATCATTTAAAAGAAATTGCAGTGCATTGAAAACCCATTGAAAACACAGCTTGTGAGGAGAGCTGTGTAAAAAGCTGTGAATCTAAAAACGTGGCGATATACGTAGTAATTTTGATTAAAGGAAAAAGATGTCATTTTCTGTGTCGTTCCGGGAAAGAAAACAGCGAGCGAAAATTTTTTCAGATGAAAGCTTAGTCGGTATTTCATGGGTAACTGCAACGAAAGAAGAAGTTGAGCGAATTTGAGCAGGAAATTACTTAGAATGGAATAGAATAGAAGTGTAGGTACTGAAGAAATAGGCCCATGGCCTGTTGCCGATTCTTGTACTTTTCGTGACTTGATTTCATATGATAAGTTGTACAGTTCAATTAGTTAGTTAAGCCTTATAGTGGAATGAATACAAACAAGTAAAATTATTTTCATAAAATTTAAACAGGAAAACGAACTCAAAAGGCTCTTTCGACCAACAATACTGCTATCTTAAAGCAAAATTCAAATTATAAATTTTTTTACCGTATATGAGTAATTGAGCTTGTTTACATTTGCGATAAATAGGTATATGCGTACAGAAAAGTACTTAGACATCAAACAAAATACAACTACCTGTAAATGAAGCACCCGTACTCCGAAAATAATCATTTGAGAAATTACTTGATCCGGATAAATTTATGAGTGAATAATATGCTTATTATTTTGGGTGGCCAGCTAATATCCATCTGAAAATTTACTATCAAGAAGAAATTGTAGCTTGGAATTACCCATCGCCAAATCAGAGTCAGTGGAAACTGAATGCTCGTCGCTGATCTGCCTAAAAACGGTTATCTTGATGATTATCCCTGCCTCTTAGTCAGCAATGACCCCCAATTAGCCGTCGTTAATTAACGTGCGTGTAATTAAGCCCGAGCTCAGCATCGTGGATACGGCGCATCAGCCTTTTGGCCAACGTCGAGGTCTTCTGAGTTTTCGTCTTTGCAATACAAGAATAAATCCTTGATTTTTTTTTTTGCGGCACAATAACGGTTGCAGATGGAATTTTGTCTGGATGGACAAGGGACAGTCAGAAGTGAGTACATTAAAGTTATCCTCATTTGCTTTCCAGGGCGAAGTACAACTTCCACTGCAACACAAAGTAGGTAAATATTTTTCCGTGATGAGAAGAAATATTTTATGTATAAGGATTAAACTCGTGATCGCTCTCGAGACAACATAAAAAATCAAGGATACCCTTGTCTTGCTCGAAAAAGTACACATAATAGTAAATCTCTTCGAACGATATCCCAAAAGTCTGAATATTTATAAGATCCAGTCTAGTCTTGTGGCCCGGCTGCAGCATAATCAAAGAAGCGCTGTACATCACGCTCAGTGGAAGCCAACGCTGCCAGCGATACTTATAATGAAGAACCATTTGTGTTCGTAATATCCTCTCATTATTGTGAGTTATTCTATTAAGAACGCATGACTTGGGAGCAGTTTTATACAGGTACTGCACTCATGATCAGCGTCTAGCCAAGTCAAGCACCGACAGAACCACAAAAGCGAAAATGGATACGGACCCTTTACTCGTACAGAGTAATATTGGATAGAAGGGTCTATTAAAATTATACATTAAACGCATTAAACTATTCAGTTGGGAAATTATTGAATAATTAAAGTTGACATTGTGCTAATTTTGCAATGCGATAATATAGTACACGAGGACTTGAGAATTTTGTCGAAGTTGAGATGAATTCTGTGCTCCATGCATTATCGGAAGTCGGATGTTTTGGCTTAGCTGTTGTTCTCGGAAATGTAGAGCCAGCTTCCATGATGAAATTGTAGGCACAAAATCCACGGCATCTTGCACGAAGCTTCCGTCCTTGTGCGAGTTATTGCCTTTTTTCCTAAATTTCCTTTTCGTCCGTCAAAAAAGCACGAAGCATTGCATGTGGCTATATAGCTAAGTCTGTCAGAGCGCGAAG